CGTGATGTCAAAATGAGGGGCAACATGTTACTATGTCTATTTTTGCAATTTTTATTGCACAGATGTATAAAATACCTTTTTAAGTTACACGTGTTTTTAGAAGCTAAGATTCCCCTAATCATATGCTAATAAATGTGTTGGACTGGTTCATGAGCTCAGGACAGGAAATTATGTTTTTTTTTTTTTTATAAAATTGTGGTAGTTTGTATGTACATCATTTTTTGTTTAGTAAAAGTACATTAATACCCTACAGAGGTTCAATTGCTTTCTTACTTCTACCACAAAGAACCTTAATAGACACAAAGCAAAACAGACATGACACCTTTACAGAGGTAAGTGATGTGAGAAGTGATGTGGGAAGTGTGAGAAGTGTGTGTGAAAGTGATGTGAGAAGTGATGTGAGAAGTGATGTGAGAAGTGAGAAGTGATGTGAGAAGTGATGTGAGAAGTGATGTGAGAAGTGAGTGAGAGTGAGAAGTGATGTGAAAGTGATGTGAGAAGTGTGAGAAGTGATGTGAAGTGATGTGAGAAGTGATGTGAGAAGTGTGAGAAGTGTGATGTGATGTGATGTGTGTGTCTCCCACTAACACCACTGAGGGTGGTTGCCTTTTATTCTCCTGCCATAATCAAAACTGGGATAGAGGCTTTTAATTCCTCTGCAGACACAAAGCCAGGAAGGCTTTTACTACTCCTGCTGACAGCAAACTTGGGGAAGCTTTTACTACTTTCCCTGACACAAATGCTGGGGGGGCTTTGGCACTACCATTTGGCCATCAGTACAGAGACCTTTTTTGCTTCAACTGACCACCAATGCACATAAACCATTTTTATATAAGATAGAATTTTTTTTTTTTTTTTTTTATGTGGTAACATGAAGAGTAAGGAAGCTTACTGAAGCAGGTGTTTTTGGAGCATACAAGATACAAAAGTCATCGCTCTCAAGAGGACCGTCAAGAATGGCGTCACTCATAAGATGGGGAGCGGCCATCATGAATGTTGGGCTGGACTCTTCAGACACAGTAGTACCGCTTTCATCGGGAAAAAGGAATAGGTCGGAGCAAGGGGGGTCCTGAGATTCAAATTTGCCATCTGAAATACCTAAGCAAACATTCCCAAAAAAAAAAAAAATCACGTAAGTGCATCATATAATACAATTCATATTAACGCTATAACAGTGCGATGTGTAATGACTTTGTAACATACAACGACCGGTTATCGTGAACGTGCCATACCCCACATGATCTGATTAGATTAGTATTTATTCTAGTAAGATCATAATATTTTAACCACGTGCCTACCAGACAACTTCTACCCCCTTCCTGCCCGGGCCAATTTTCAGCTTTCAGTGCTGTAACACTTTGAATGACAATTGCGCGGTCATTTGTTTTATTTATTTCAGGTACTTATATAGCGCCGTCAATTTACGCAGCGCTTTACATATATATTATACATTCACATCAGTCCCTAACCCTCAAGGGTGTACAACCTGAGGTCCCTAAACTCACATTCATACACATACTAGGGCCAATTTAGACAGTATCCAATTAATCTACCAGCATGTCTTTGGAGTGTGGGAGGAAACCGGAGAACCCAGAGGAAACCCACGCAGGCACAGGGAACATGCAAACTCCAGGCAGGTGGTGCCGTGGCTGGGATTCAAACCAACGGCCCTAGTACTGCCAAGTGGAAGTGCTAAACATTTAGTACTGTGCAACACTACACCCATATGACATTTTTATAAATTTGTTTCACACAAATAGAGCTTTCTTTTGGTGGTATTTAATTGCCACTGGGTTTTTTTTTTTTCTTGCATTATAAACCAAAAAAAAAAAAGGGAGGAAAACAAAATTTTTTCTTTGTTTCTATTATACAATTTTGCAAACAGGTAATTTTTCTCTGTCATTGATGTACTTTGATGAGGCTGCACTGAGAGGCAGTACTGATGGGCACTGATGAGGTAACACAGATAGGCAGCACTGATAGGTGGCAACGGATGAGGTGGCACTAGTGGTCACTGATGAGGAGGCACTGATATGCAGCAAGGATGGGCACTGATAGGCAGCACTGATGGGCGCCACTGCTGGGTGGCATTGATCATCAGTGCCCTGATTATAAGTGCAGATTTGCTCTGTGACATTTGCTGGTTATTGGCAGTACTTCTTTCCTCACCCTGTGACAGTGTGAGGAAAGTGCTGCCGATAACTGGCAACTGTATTTATTTTGTGATCTGCTGTGTCATTGGGCACAGCTGATCACATGGTAAAAGGCCACTGTAATTGGCCTTTTACCTCGTCATGTGATCAGCTGTGTCCGTAGGACAGTGCGATCATTGACAGCACCGGGTACGTGCCACGGGGGGCTTGTTCTGGGGAAGACGTCATATGACGCCCTCCCAGAACTGTAGCTGTCTTTCGTTGTAAAGTGGTTAAAGCTGACAGACTGCCATTGGCTACTGCTCTTTGCACTGTACTGCAAGAAACACAGTACTCTGTAATTTAAAGGAATTCATAATTTCATTAGGAAGAAACCTGGATCCCAGGTGGAACACTTTTATCCAAGTCGTCGTCGCCCCCCCCCCATTCAAAGCCCAATGCCAGAATCACATTGGTCAGTAGAAGTGCTTTCATTGAACTGTGTGATGGGGCTTTATGCTGGGAAAACACAGGAAATACACCCCATTCACACAGGGCGATTACCTGTATCCCCCATGCAGGGCCATGTTTTGTTGGCACAGACGATGTGTGCATCCATGTGCCAGCATAGATGTCTACCGGGACACACAGCTGCATGGACAGAGCCGGGGTGTCCCAATCTATGCAGGTTAGTGTCCCTGAACTCACAAAGGGTGTGTTTGGGGTTGTGCACCCACATGGATGTCACAATGGAACACAGTGGCTGTGTCTGTGCAGCTGTGTGTCCCAATGGGCATCTATGGGACTGCCGGCACAGGGATGCATGCAAAACCTATGCATTTCTGTGCTGGCAAAACGTGGCCCTGCTTGGGGCATGCAGGTAATTGCCATGTATAAAATTGGGCTTACAGTTTACTTAGACCAAGACTAGGCATTCTCAGCACTACAGCTGTTATGGAACAAGTCCCTTTGCACTACAAGACTGGCAGCCACAGGTACAACTTCCAGAGGCATGATCGAAATTTGTAGTCAAACCATAGCTGAGATTGCCTACCCCTGACCTAAACAGCCTGGGATGCAGGTTCTATCCTAAGCTTTTCCAAAACGGATTTGAAAAGGAACACAGGTACTTGCCATAGGCCGCATTCTCAATATGATTACATTTCCTAACTGTGTTCTGTAAATTTTATAGTTTTGTTCAGTGACTACAGATGCACTGCAAACCAGAATGAGCATATACAAACAATGTACACCTCTGTAAATGCATGTACCGTTTAGCTGGGGTTTTACTGGTGCAGAATCTTGACTGACATCCATATCCTCCATGGCATCGATCATTAAATCTCGCAGTATTTGCTGCTCTGCCCTCGGCCAGCAGAGGGCCCCGAGAATTGGATGCTGTACAGGGGTCATTCTGTAACACAAAAACTGCATTTTAAAAAGGAAATATATTGCAATTTTTTAGACAGTTGTGGGTACGGAGAATTAAAATGCCTCATTATATTTTGATATCTTTTTTATTTTATCTCCCAGATGTTCAGAGAGATGACTTTACTGAAGTATGATTTCAGTTGTCATTGAACTTGATAATCCCAAGAGCCATATGACTCCTGCTGTATAAAACACTTCCAACACACATATGCAATATTGAAAAGTCAAAAAGTAAAGTTTAGTTGATATGTCAATACTTAAAGCGGAACTAAAACTCCCCAAGATACTGACCTCCATCTTCTAGAAATGCAGCAGCTACAACCCTCACCAACTACTGTCACCTTCTCATGGGGTGCTCAGTTTTTGGCCTCTTGATTAGCCCGAGGGAATAACATCATCTCAGCATGCACATAGCAGTCACTCCAGCCCAGCCACACTGAGCTGTGCATGCGACAGAAAACAGGCAGAAAAGTGTGAATTATTGCATTAGAAAACATTGCATGTCTCCTCTGCTATAAAAAGCTGCCTGCTTGCAGTTTTCTAAAAGTTAGGTTTAGTTTTGTTTTAACCACTTGCCGTCCGCCCTATAGCAGATTCACGGCAGGGGGTGCACGCCAGAGCGCTGCTCCTGATGTCATTTGACAAAGCAGAAGTCAATCAGCAGGTGCTGTCCAATGGATGAGCGCCGGCACCCAGTGATTGTCGAGGAGAGTGATAGGACACAGCCCTGCCTATGTCAACAGCAATGTGCTGGACTGTCATTCCCTGCAGAGCAGGGAATGCAATCCAGCACATCTATTAGTAAAAACACCTCACAGTACATAGTAAAAACACGAATTAGGCACATATTTAACCCTTTTGATTGCCCTAGATGTTAACCCCTTCACAGCCAGTGCCATTTAACACAGTGACAGTGTATATTTTTAGCACTGATCGCTGTACTAGTGTCACTGGTTCCCACAGAGTGTCAGTTGTTGGCGGACTTTCCGCAGCAATATCGCAGTCCCACTAGAATTTGCTGATCGCCACCATTACTAGTATAAAAAAAAAAAAAAAAAAGAAATCCAGTATATGTACCATAGTTTGTAGACGCTATAACTTTTGTGCAAACCAATCAATACATGCTTATTCTGATTTTTTTATATATAGAATATGTAGAATACATTTTGGCCTAAATTTATGAATTTTTATTGGATACAGTAGGTTTTATAGCAAAAGTAAAAAATATTGCTGTTTGTTTCAAAATTGTCTGTTTTTTTGTTTTTTTTTTTTTTAGCACAAAAAAAATAAAAAAAAACCCAGGTGAGATTAAATACCACCAGCAGAAAGTTCTCTTTTCATTAATGTACAGCAAATGTGACTGCAAAATTGTTAGTAAGGTAAGGCAGCACCGTATAGCAAAAAAATGGCCTGGTCATAAAGTGGGGTAAATCTTCTGAAGCTGAAGATGTTCATATCCAGCCAAGGTGGATAAAATGACATTTTATAAATATATATCAAATGGATAAGGATTTTGTTTCTTTGATCACGTTCCACAAGTTCATAATCCTCAATTAGTTTTTGGTATGGGATCAGAATATCACCAGAATATTGTTCCTCTCTGCTCCCTACCTTTTTGGCTTTCTTGTGAGGTCCTGGTGAGGTCTGTGTTCGGGGTGGTGGATACAGATCCCCATAGTTGGCGATATATTGAATAAGGTTCATTAATGCAGCGCAGGAGTCTGAGCATGTCCTGATATGGATCACGTCGCTAGAACAATACATCTCAAAGCGTGGCCTGGACTGAAAGGAAACAGGAAAATAGTATGATATTTATTGACTTAGTACATACCTAAAAAACAAACTTCCCACCTAAAACCCCCTTAGTTCTCAGTCTAGAAATACTTGGTACTCATAACATCAGTGGGAACATTTACAGTGACACTTGTAGAGAGTGACCACACAGAATAGGAGCAGTGTCTGTTGAGTCAAAGGCCAATTTGCAACCAACTCACAGCCCATTTTATGCTCTGGATTTTTTATGTAGTTTTTCATTGTATTTCGGTACGATTTACATTTTCATAGTTTGATTTTTGTTTTTTTTTTATTTTATTCCTTATTTATTCTATGTTTGTATTTTATTAGTATGGGTGGTTTATTAGAGTAAGAGTTTTTTTTTACTTTTATTGCTGTTATTGGTAATTTTATTGTGTCATTGTGTTTTGTTCCATTCCTTTTATGTTCTTGTGTGTTGTCTTCATTGAAATGTGACTGTATTTTAATAATCTTCCCAATGACCAATAGGAATAAGTAATTTTCCCAGGTGTCATGCATAGAACGTACACCTAACCTGACAGACCGAATATTACGACCCAAATATTGCTGAAAAACTGACCTATATACTGGACACATGCCTACCTAGATTTGCCGTACGGGACCTCTGACTGGTACTCGGATTACTTGAACGGTTTGACCCGGCACAGTTGCAGCTGTTCCCCCTTTTCTCCCTACCCTACCCTCCTTCACCCCTTTTTTTTTTTTTCATCTCTCTGTCTCTCTCCTCCATTCTGGTCTCTCTCTCCTTCTCTCCCCCTCTTTATAGGGGGGGGGGGGGGGGGGGGGGGGGGGGGGGGGGGGGGGGGGGGGGGTCCTCCTTTCGCTCTATCCTACATTCTCAACATTACCCTCCCATTTCTTTGAGTTTAGATGAACTTTGAATACCAGCAGACCACAGGTACAACTGCAGCTCCTCAGCCTCCGCCCCCAGGGGTGGATGCCCAAATATCCACTGTTCTCACCGTCCTCTGTGTATTGCATCACATTCTTTATTTAAAGGGGACCATATGAGGATTGGTTGATTTATGTACCAAATTGTTCGGTTCACTTTGTTCGATTTTGTGCTTGGAACATGTTCTCTTCTTTTTTTTTTTTTTATGTCTTCTTAATTCAATGTTAATTGACGACACTATATGTGCTTCAGATGTATAGCCCGTCAAATATATGGGAATTTTACTGAGTTGTATATATCATGATCCAACTGTAACATATATACAAAATATATATATATATATATATATATATATATACACACACACACACACACACACACACATATATATACAATAAGACACACACACACACACATATATATATAAATATATACACACACACACATATACACACACACATAATATACATACACACATATATATATATATATATATATATATACACATACATACACATATATATATATATATATATATATATATATATATAAAATATATAATATATAATAATGTACATACACACACACACACACATACGTGTGTGTGTGTGGTGTGTACCATTATGCCTTATTTCTCAATAAAATTGTTTTTTGGGGGAAAAAAAAAAAAAATCTTCCTTTAGCACTAATAAAGTATTCTGATTATTTGGTTGAGGTGATTGTAGCCGTATTAGTGAATTTGCGACAGAAACAATTGAGTACTGTCCGTGATACTTTTTTTATTTGCACTAACATGCATACAGTATGTTAGTGCAAATAAAAAAAGTATCAGGGACAGTACTCAATTGTTTCTGATTATTTGGTCAAATTCTAACCTCTAGTGGTCAAAAGTAGCACTGCACCAACTCTAGATCCACTTCGGGACAGGTTGAACGTCATATACTAAAATGCAGCTTCTTTGAACAGTCCAAGTCAGAAACAAAGGGGAAAGGTCAGAACAGAAACCCTGTAAGAGCTGTAGAACAGCACACAGTCACTAGGATCCTGGGCTCAGGTCAGTGCTCACAATCTCACAGGGAAGCTACACGCATTCCAGTCTCCATCTGGACTCTTCAGCAAGTTCTCCAGAACAGATCCTTAGGTGAAACTGCTTAATTAGCTCCAAAAGGTAATTAGGAATACCCCACCACCCCCCCCCCCCCCAGCCCTTAGGTTGGGAACTTCCCCTGCAGGACAAGAAAAGGTCAGCTCCAGATGCCAGACTATTTATGTTCTCCAACCAGCCACCTGGGGAGGGGTGTGCCCACTGGCTACATAAATAAGCCGGCTTCAGGAGAGATCACCAACAATGGCTGCAATGCTTGGGTTGACATCACCCATTGGCTCTGCAGCACAATAAATATACAAGCTGACCATTTGATTCTCCCAGCCCTCTATGTTCTAGAAACCTTCATAATGCAAGAGGAAGCAATCAAACCTGCAGTCTGTGAGATCTAGAACAGCCCAGAGAAATCAATATGGCTCCAATGATTATCAGGGAGCCAAAAAGAGCTAAATGTTACCTATAATCCTAGCAACTTACCTAGGAGGGTGCTACATCCACCCCCCTCTACAAATAGGCCCTGTCCTCATGGACCAGAACATGAAAATAGCTTTTATTGCCAAGAGCTGAGTATCCCACAATAACAAGGATGTGGTTTTCCACATAACATTCTTTGGTTGAGGTACAATAACTTTGTACATTACAATTACAACATTGGCACCAGGTTAGGTAAGAACCCCTTATTAGGTGCTAGAACTCCAACAATATATATACAGCAGTAGAGCTCTACCGCTAGCTAATAGTAAAATGGTTAGTGCATTGATTCAATATGCTATATTTCAGCTGAAGTTCAAATTCCTTGTCATCTACTAAAGAACAGAATTAGCAGAACAAATTAAACAACACAATCCAGGATCGAAGCATTATCTCCATAGAGATAATCCTTCAACAGATCAATCAATGACTTTAAAAAAGGTAGTTTTTTTTTTTGTCAATTGATAACAAAAAAAATAGTTTGTTGGTGTAAAGGCCTTGCTCACATGGGCGTATCTAAGTGTACATCCAGGTAAAGGGCCATGTTTACTCCCTGCGTGCAGACAGTCCCATTCATGGTGCACAACTGTGCTGGTGTGGGTCCACTGAGTGTATAGTTAGCTACGCCTGTATGAAGGAGGCCTTACACTGCATGTTAAGCAAGGGAAACATTTTGCAATGAGTGCAGCTGCTGCATGGTTTAAGTAAGAAAGAGACCAAGAGGAAAATCTGCCATATTCATGACCGTAAGATGTACAATACAATAAAGCCAGCTACAAATAAAATGTTGCAAAATTGTTGCAGACACCCAGAAACTTGGGTCAATAATTCAGAGAAAAAATATCATATATAATCAAAAATTAATAACTTGGTAAAATGTACACAAAGGTGCCTACTTGACTCTATGCCAGCCTTTGAAAATTCCCTCCAGAACAAAAAATATAAAAATAAATCATATACCCAATATTTTACCTCTTCTCCAAACTTCACAGCCAGAATGGTCAGTTCTAAAAGGCCCATATCCAGGACTCGCACATAATCTAAAATAAGCAGAAAGCACTTATTTATTTCAAAGTGCAAAGCAGAGAGTTGATGTTATTAAATATATATGTAAAAAGACCAGAAATTGATATCTTGACGATAACCTATTAGATTTCCTATTCGTAAATATTATTATTGTAATTGGGATATGAGTGCTAGCAGGGTTGAAGGTTTTGTGCAGTGCAGTGTGCCGCATGTATGCAACAACTGATCAATAGCTCCAGGATGGATACCGCTGCAACAGTTGTGAACGCTTTGCTATCTTCTTATAGCCTTCTCCAGCTTTGTGAGCGTCAACTATTTTCAGTTTTCAGCTTTCTAGACAACTGCTTAGAAGAAGCCATGGTGCTGATTGTTGGGGCAAGGTCAGATGAGTCTGGGCATTTAAAACCTTTGAGATTGACATCACCTGGTCTTCCCAGACGATGATTGAGAACAATCCATGACACTGGCAGGTCTCAGCTTGGCAAAGGGGGCAGTGCATGCTATAAAATTCTGCAGGGTGCCCAAACTTTTGCAGACGCCATTTTTTTTGTTTTCTGTTTATTTTGAAAGTGTAAATGATGGAAATAAAATCTAACTTTTGTTGACATATTATAAGAATGTCTAATCTGTAATTTGATGCCTTTTGGAGATTTTTTCCATCTTTCCTTGGCTTCTTTATTGCACATTAATACAAATTTTTAGCTGGGGTGCCTAAACTTCCGATCCCCACTGTATATCTAAAAAAAATTATATTTTATATATTTATATATATATTAAATAAAAATATATATATATATTATATTTATAAATAAAAATATATATATATATAAAATATTATATATATATATATATATAAAAAATATATACAGCGCTATATAAGTAGCTGTAATAATCCCTATGGGCAGGCGGTTCTAAAACGGACTTATGCCCGTTTACCCTCACCTACCTCTGGGTCTGATCAGGTCCGCTAAACAAAAAATTGTTGAGGACTGTGGTTCCGGATCAGAGGTAGCCGGATGTAAATGGACAGCGGAATCTGTTTACATCTGGCTACCAACAGAGCAGAGGGGGAACACTCTGCTTCGATCAGATGGGTTCAGCACACAGATCTCCTGCTGATCAGAAAGGTGTCTGCCCCATGTGAAAGGGGCCTAAAGCAGGCAATAACAGGAAACAAAATGTGCTACAAAGCAGGTTAAGGAATGGTAGAACTAGCTAGCTTTATCGCCATTTAAAGAGGAAATCTGGTCAAAATTAAAAATAACATACAAGGCAGTCTATCCCTATCATTGAACGAGAACTATGGGAATGGCTTTTATTTAAAAATCCTACTTACCTAGGTGACTGCAGCATTGGTCTGATGCTGCATTTGTCCCCCACTGGCTCTAAGGGCGAGAACTCAGTGACCACATGAGCTCTTACAGCAGCTCTGAGCAGACAGCAGTGACTGTCATTCACCACTGTCTGTTCTGCCCCCTCCTACCCCCCACACACACTCACTCACTCACTGGAGCGCTGGGCTGATGACGGGGAGGGATCAGCTCGCTCAGGCTCTCAGCGGCTTGCTAAGAGGCTGAGCCAGGTGCCGCTCCAGACTCTGGGGTGGATCCCGACTTTGGAGTCTGGATTTCTTCCCAACCAGGGAGTGACTTCAGCCCACTGTCAGCTGAAAACAGGTCACAGGAGTGCCGAATGAACTCCTGTGATCCAAAGCTCTTTTGGCTGTACTTCTTTAACACTGCAGTTTTTGTTTTTCCAGTGTCTGCATTGTTCCTTACAGCCACCTATCAGATCACACCTGCCATGAAAAAATACTGCATGCAAATCGGTGATGACCAAGTGAGTAGCTCTCTACATTCTGGTATGCTAGATTACATAAAACTCAGGATAAAATGTATATAAACCTAATATATTGAAGCTTTCCAGACCGCAGAAGAAGTGGCCTTATCTAGACTTTTATTTGCCCTTTATTTTCCCCTGATAATCATGCAATTAACACACTTTCTGTTCCATGATGACACTGTTCACTCACTGTATCCATGAAAGAAGCCATGGTTGCCACCCAGGCTGGATTTCAAACAGGTCTTCCTCTCTTCATCCCAAATACATAGGGGATTAATGGGAGTGGGGGTTGGAGCAGTTTACAAAAGGAATATTAACACGGTTTGTGATTGCAGTTCATCTCACAGAAAGTGGCAAGTACACTGCATTTCCAGCATTATCAACAGGTATTTTCTTTACTTGCTACAAATGTTAGCCTATTAAAAAAAAAAAAAAAAAAAACTAATGCAGCCACCACATTTAAGGTCTAGTAGCTGCAATAGATATCCTTTAAAGGTAAACGGTGTGAACTTTGTGACCTGATCACAGCTATAGAAAATCTGATTGGATTTTCATTCAATAGCCTACAGGTAAACGGACGTCAGCTTTCTTTCAGTAAATGCAGGTGATGTAACCCCAGGAGACATTTTATGTGATGTTTAATGGCCAATACATTTAGTGCTCTTACCTCGATTTAAATTGACAGATACAGCATTGCACTTGTCCGATAAATGCAGTGCAGCCTCATCCAGGATAATCCTGAATCATAGGAACACAAATCATGATAGTTTATGTATTACAACATAAAATAAAGTCTTCCGAAATGCTGCTAGCAGTAAAGTGGGAAAGCTGGATGTGATTACCGTAAACTGGAAGAAGATTTGTCCAGTGCCACGCTACAGGAAGGAAATACTGAAAGTTTCTACATTCAGCAGGGCTCTAATCGGCAGGTAGAGAGGTCTGTGGAATAAGACAACGCTTAGATTTTTCTGCAGCAATACTCTGCCTTTTGGTATAAAAGGCTTTTGGCTACAAGGCTGTATTGAGATGGTCCATAAGCAGCAACCATGCAGATGTGGATTATCTCTCAACATTTCTATGTGTATGTCTACAAAGCAGTATCTGTGATGAAAGAACACTGGGAGTGCAGTAAATAGAATACAAATTTACCTGGAAGTGTTCTATAGGTGACAGTAAATGAAAAATACAACAGCAAAATATTCCTATCTGTCCATTGCCAGCAAAGCTCATATTTCTTCTTGAAGCTTTAAAGTGATTGTAAAGGCTTTATTTATTTTCTTTAAAAAAGCAAACATGCTAGGTTTACCTGCTTTGTGCAATGGCTATGCACAGAGCGACCCCAAACCTCCACCTCTTCTGGAGTCCCCTGTTGGTGCTCTTGGCTCCTCGTCTTCTCCGAGTGCCCCCATAGCAAGCTGATTGTTATAGAGGCACTTGTGTGGGCTCAATCCTGAGGTGGGCTGAGTGCATCTTTCAACCAACACACACACACACACACACACACACACACACACACTCAGCCCACCCTGGAAAACCCCTAAACCCCCCTCCCCCTTGATCTCTCCTCACAGAGTTTGACTGACAGCAGCAGGAGCCGATGGCTCCTGCTGCTGCGGAGTCCCCTGTGAGAAGAGGAAGAGGGGAGGAGAGCTGCTGCAACCAGGAATAGCCCTGGATCAAGATCAGGCTCAGGGGAGAAGCTTTTGAAAGGTTTTTTTTTTTTACCTTCATGAGGAGAATGCATTAAAAGGTAAAAAAAAAACAAACAAAACCATTTACTAATACAAATTTAAAGCAAATGTCTGGCTATGAACAGTGAAATACAGGTGTACTTCAGTTTACGAATGTAATGCGTTCTCCGGGACATTTCGTATTGCGAAAAGTTCATAAACCGAAACGCGCTTTCCCATAGGAATGCAGTGAAAACCAATTAATCTGTTCTGGAGGTTAGAAAGAAGATACAAAAAAAAAAAAAAAAAAAAAAAGTCGTCACTATAGGTCAGTGCCGGTTTTTAAATGTAATGACTGCTTTTTTTTTTTTTCTTCATTATAGCTCAGAGAATCAGCTGTCACTTTCCCCCCAGCTAAAAGAAAGAAAGTTTCCTTTTAGTTTATTTCCCAGAGTTAACAGAAACAATGTTTCCTTTTAGTTTGTTTCCTGAGATAAAAGAAACAAAAGTAGTATCTTTAGCTTCAGGGAAAGTGACAGCTAATTCTGGGAGCTATAGTGAAGAAAAAAAAAAAAGCCAGCAATTGCATTTAAAATCGGCACCGACATACTCTTCGTATTGTGAAAAACAAATTTGTAAACCGAGGCATTATTTTCAATGGATTTTCATTCATAAAATCTATCTGAAAATTACGTTAACCGAGGCGTTTGTAAACTGAGGTACACCTGTATTACAATATGCCTAACAAGCAATAAATCCCCTAATGACCTTGGCAGCTGCAGGAACTGTGGAGTAGTTCATTCACAAAGCTTACATCAGAAGCACTAAAATCATTTTCTCAGCAGCTCAGATTAAGCTGATCTTACTCCGGTTTTACATTAGATAGCTGCCAAGCTACTGCTGGGAGAAGAAGCTGAGCTGCTAATTCACTACAAAAAGGGGGAGCCAAGCTGCAGAGTCACTTCAAAGAGGTGGTAGGAGACCCTGCAGGACAAAGCTATGGGGACAGGGGCGGACTGACAACTCATGGGGCCCCTGGGCAATAGGGGATCATGGGGCCCCCGTGTCCTTGCCCAAACTCAAAAAAGCCTATGAAAAAAAAGGTACCAGGGGTATCTCATAGGGCCCCCTACTAACCCTGGGCCCTCGGGCAGTGCCCAAGTTTCCAAATGGTCAGTTCACCCCTGTATGGGGAGTAATATTGTTTACAAATCACATTCACGAATAGAAATAAATAACTAACGTGTTATAACATATATACATAACAAAAGGTAGTATTATACATGATGTGAACAAAAAAAAAAAAAAAATACACATTCTTACCTGTAATCAAGAGCACAACTCCATAGGTGAACATGGAAAGTGGTTATAGATGCTGGGGGGTTGTAGCCTAAAACTGGCTCATCAGTAATGTTTAAAAATTGTAATATCTATAATAAAATGGAAAAACCAAAACGGTTACAATAGTTTTTCTGCACAAAGACGAAACATGAAAAAAACAGAACACTAAAGTATACATAGATATAAAAAGAAAAAATGCACCTTAGCAATAAAAATGACCTGTCATGTTGCCCCTGTATATCTCAGCTAGTAAACAGCAACTTGTGGTTCTAAAGTCATCATTAGTTGTGTTACAGAACTGCAGCAGATCTCCTTCCTGCACCAGGGTCCTTTTATCTCAAATATTGTTTTTTTCCCCTAAAATAGCATTTTTTATATCTGTGTAATTTAGAAGTTTGCCTGGAGTTCTGCTTTCAAGTGGGAATTTTACCAAAAAATACAACGTGGTTGATTTACTAGTGCAAAATCTGGTGTAGCTGTGCACGACAGCCAATCAGCTTCTTTCTAACTTCAGCTTGTTCAGTTGAGCTTTGACAAAAAAAAAACCCTGGAAGCTGATTGGTTTCTATGCAGCGCTGCACCAGATTTTACACGGGAAGGGAAAGGGAAAGGGGAAGGGGAATGAAAGGAAAGGTTCATTTGAAAGAGGTAAAGAGGTTTGTAGAAATTGTTTTTGGCCATCAATCAAAAATTTTGAACTAGAGCAGGGGTCTGCAAACTTTAAGACATAAAGAGCCACTTGGACCTGTTTCCGGGAGGGGAAAAAAGACTGGGAGCCGCAAAACCATTGCAACATTTAAAACAAATCCGTCACTGCATATATTGCAAAAAGCGCTCTGGTCATGAAGGGGGTTTAAGGGCCCAGTAAGCAAAGGGTTAATCAGGGCCACAGTGTATCGTCATAATCACAATCATAGCCTTAGGTCAGTGGTGGGCAACCTTTTTTTTCAACTGAGCCAAATCTCGCCAAAACCACGATTGAAATTTATTTTGAGAGCCACATTTTTAAAACTGAAAATACATCCCCCATATAGTAATTCATCCCCCATAGTAATTCATCCCCCATATAGTAATTCATCCCCCATAGTATTTCCCCCATCCCCCACATAGTAATTCATCCCCCATATAGTAATTCATCCCCCATATAGTAATTCATCCGCCATAGTAATTAATCCCCCATATAGTAATTCATCCCCCATATAGTAATTCATCCCCCATATAGTAATTCATCCCCCATAGTAATTCATCCCCCATAGTAATTCATCCCCCATATAGTAATTCATCCCCCATAGTAATTCATCCCCCATATAGTAATTCATCCCCGATATTAAGTCCCCAAGTCCCCCCTGTGTCAATTCACTTACCTTTGCTCCGCGCGTTCCTCTCGCCGTGTTCCCACGCCGTTCGGGTGTAGCATGAAAATCTGTCTCCTATGAGGATCTGTCCCCCTCGACGTATCTGCGCATGTGCCAGTTTCAGGCATTAGCAGCCGATCGGCGATCTCCGGCACATGCGCAGATACGTCGAGGGGGACAGATCCTCATAGGAGACAGATTTTCATGCTACACCGGTCTTCAGGGTGGACTGTGAGAGGAGCCTAGCTCCGCGGGCCGGATTAAAAGGTCCGCCGGGCCGTATACGGCCCGCGGGCCGTAGTTTGCCCATTGCTGCCCTATTGCCTGTCACCTGGTGGGCAGTGTGCTCCGGAGCCGCAGCCAAGGTGAAAAAGAGCCGCATGCGGCTCTGGAGCCGCGGGTTGCCGACACCCGAACTAGAGGAACTGCTGAGGATCCAAGCAGATCTCTCCATAGCAACAAAGCATCTCCAGCATCTTCCTAGATGTGCATTCTTCTAGCTCACATGTCTCTAATTTGCCGTGCTTCAGAATATGTTTTTTCTGCAACTAGATGTAAACTTTACTACTAAAATGTCATATAACTTAAACATGTTAAAGTCCAATTGTAAAAAATGATGCAATAAACACAGGCTGCAAAAAAAAAAAAAAAAAAAACCCTGAAAAACAACAAAAAAAAAAATAAGCGAAGAAGGCCACAGCTCCAGCAGAAGTTTCAGTATGCTGCAGTGAAAGATGGCTGCCAACATGTGAGAGCAGCAGCCTCTGTACAGTGGTTTGACGTGTCCCTGACTGTGCACACCCGCCTTCTCCACCTGCTGCTGGGTGCTGCCATTTTAGATTTGTTAGCAGCTCCTGTCCACAATACTGAGAGCAGCGGAGCTTAAATTCAGTCATTTATTGATTTATTTCAGGTACTTATATAGCACCATCAATTTACGCAGCGCTTTACATATATATTGTACATTCACATCAGTCCCTAACCCTCAAGGGGTGTACAATCTAAGGTCCCTAACCCTCAAGGGGTGTACAATCTAAGGTCCCTAACCCTCAAGGGGTGTACAATCTAAGGTTCCTAACTCACATTCATACATACATACTAGGGTCATTTACCCTACTAGCATGTTGTTGGAGTGTGGGAGGAAACTGGAGTACCTGGAGGAAACCTAGGCAGGCCCAAGGAGAAAACGCAAACTCTAGGCAGGCAGCGTCGTTACTGGGATTTGAGCCTAGTGCTGCTAGGCGGAAGTGCTAACCACTTAGTCGTCGTGCTGCTCAAGTCATGTGACCTAGTAAAAAAAATGAGCAGCCTGGTAGTCTCATTAGCTGAGCTTTCTACCTGCTGCTGATGCTTTCCAGGACATTGCAAGGCTGTGTGCAGGATCTCCACTCCTGAACCAAAACCAGAATGCCAAAAATAGCAAGTAGGCCAATTTCCCTATACAGAGAAGTGCTTAAAGCGGAGTTCCACCGTAAAAAAAAAAAAAAAAAAAAAAAAAAAAAGAGTCAGCAGCTACAAAAAACTGTAGCTGCTGACTTTTAAAATACAGCCACATACCTGTCCCTCGGTCCAGCGGTGTCCTCACCACCACTGGTTTCATCGGCTGTCTTCTCTCCCTGGCGCTGGCATTTTCAGTGTGGGCACCCCAGCTGTGACAGATTGCGGCTTCACAGCCAGGTGCCCACTACGCATGCGCAAGAAGCGCTGTGCTTTGTGAATGGCCGTGTAGTCTTCTGGGACCTGTCACGTGTCCCAGAGGACTACGGGGAGGGAGGAAAGGGGGGGCAAAAACTTCGGGTATCCGCTCCCCAAAGGTGCCAATCCTTAATGGGGAGCGGGGGACAAAGGCTCAACACAGAACTCCCCCTTTTGGGTGGAGCTCCGCTTTAAAGTGTTACTAAACCCAGGACCCTGCATTTAACTATATCTGGTCTCCCACAGAACAGAGAACATGGAAATGCAATTATTTTAGTAAATATAAACTGCTAAATACCTTTTCACATCAGTAATTAGAGCAGTCTTGTGACTTCTATCAGTGTTCAGCAGAGCACTGGTTAAAGCTTGTAGGAGGAGTTTTCATTTTGCTCTTGGAGGATGCAGAACCTTTGACCTCTGTCTGGACAGTGCTTGGCCCTGTGCTGATCACATGCACTCTCCCAAGAAAAAAAAACAAAAACACAACCTCTCTAGCAATACACACTAAATTGAGCATGTGCAGAATGGCTATGGTTCAATCTGTCCTATCAGGAGATAAGACGTGGACATTTGAACAAGAGGAGAAGCAGAGAAGACAGGATCAAACAACCTTTTTACACAATGCAGAGGATTAACCCCTTAGGTTCCACAGAGAGTAGAACAAACATGCTTTACTGCATATGCAAACCAATTTTATTGTTGTGGGTTTAGTAAAACTTTAAAGCTGAAGTTTAATCTGCTTATATTTTGCCTTCCCTAGCTCCCCCCTTCATCAACATACAAATGAAATATTTAAATAAAACCTGTTTTCATTGCACACCTTTAGATCCAGTAATATCACTGGGTATCTACAATCTGTTTCTCTATGCAGTGCAGGAAGATCATGTTTGCTGGGAGGGGATAACAAGGTGCTTTACATAGCTATCACAGCACCCTGCCTCTGTACTCCTCTCAAGAGCCCTCAGCCCTGATGCAAGCAGTGAGATGTCCCTTAGGAGCAGTTAGGCGAATATCAAAATGCCTTGCCAGTCTGAAGCAGTGAGCGGGCCACGAACAGTCAGGCTGGGGAGAAAAAGACAAGATGATGCTGAACATCATCCAGCCAGGAAATAATGTGGGCTCTGTCTCGCTGGACATTCTAATGCACATTGTGATAAGCTCACAGTGTGCAGTGAAATCAGTGTAAGCAAATTCAGTCCAGTCCAGTCCAGTCAGGCTGTACAACTGAGCAAGACTGAAGGTAAGGTTGGAGTTCAACTATAAAGCTGTTTAATGGTGACAGGGTTACTGGACGCTTAGACCAGCCTTTCTCAACCAGGATGCCCAAGCACCCTGGGGTGCCTTGCGGTTTCTTCAGGGGTGCCTTGGCAAAATGTCTAAAAGTTGCCTAAAATTTGTATACAAGCCAGCCGGTGGAACAAGCCTGCCTTTCAGTTACACAAAGCCACAGGTTTTCATTGTGCACCATTACGACCTTCTAGCCGCCGGCGTCCTGACAAACAATGACATCATCAGTTATTGATGTCATTGTACACTCCTAGATTGTAAGCTCGTAAGAGTAGGGCCCTCTTACCCCTCGTACGCTGTCTGTCTTTGTTGTCCTGTGCCATGTATTGTCCCCCCCTATTGTACAGCGCTGAGCAAACCCTTTGGCGCTATATAAACTCGTAGTAATAATAATAAATAATAATAATAATAATATTGAGGAGGATGTCAGCTGCCAGCAGAACATCCTAGTTTGACCCTCCCCTGCCCCTCTCCATCAGTGCTGGGGTCACATCAGCTCAGTGATGGAGAAAAAAACTGAGGGAGAAGAGAAACACTGGAATACTAGTCGGGTACCAGTGTGCAGAAGTGTATTTGCTTTAGAGGAATAAATCACCTCTGTTGGGTGTCTACATGTGTGGATGTTGCTGCATTATATAAAACTTTAGAATAGTTTTCCACATTTTAGAATCGGGTGCTATTTTAAAAATATGGACAGTCTTGAGGCACCCCATTTTATAATGGGGTGCCTCAAGACTGTCCATAATTTTAAAGGGTGCCCCGTGACTGTCCGTAATTTGAAAGGGTGCCTTGACTGAAAAAAGGTTGAGAAACACTGGCTTAGACTAATAAAAAGTAATAATGCAAGTTCCTCTGGTTTCAAGAAAATGGACACCTACCTGCTCATGCCAGGTCTGTTCGGATGTAAGTACACGGTGCTGTAGTGTTGCCCCTCTTAGTCCCACAGCGACAAGGAATTCCTAAAACATATAATACAATAAAGGCAATAACAACAGAAAATGCTACAGTGCCAACTTGAAGAACAAGCAAACCGTTTTGATAAAGTTGGTCACACTTCACAAGAATCACTTCAGGATTACCAAAATCGATAACCTTGAGAAAGCACAATCTTATATGGGTCTTTTGTGAGATCTGTGCCACACCCACCTGAATAAAAGGCGTTGTGCTCACTGGACGTTATAAAAACGCCAGCAGCGTTAGCTGTAGAATGCTGCATTAAAACTGTGAGTTTTGTTGCATTTCTTAGCATTTTTGCATTATCTTTTTTCCAGCTTTTTTTCGTGTTTTTCAGCGTTTGCGTTTTTTAGAAAAATTATACTCCCACAAAATCTTCAGGCTCAGAAACGCTCATAAACGCCGGATAGCCAAGTTTTTCAGGTTTTATCAACATTAGGGTTCAAGCACACTGCAGCTGATAAACTTACGTTTAGGAGCTGTTCAGCGGTTTTTTTCAGCAGCCCCTGAACTCTCCCTAATGTTTTCCTATGTGTCCATGTACACATCTTCGTTTACAGTCCTTTACAGGCAATGAGTTTACAGTCGTTTTTTTGAACGCAGAAAACTTGCGTTCAGCAGTCGATTTTATCAGCGTTTCAAATGCAAAACACACTTGTAAACGCAGAAAATAGTGTTTATAAGCGTTTGCGTCTGAACATTTTTTTTTTCATTTTATTTTAACTCTTCCAGTTCCCGGAACTGTCCAGAGCCTTTTTTCATCATGAAAAAATGCATACAAAGCGTTTTTCAAGGTACTCAGATGGACAAAACGCTGAACACAGGATGTTCCTACCAAGCTTGTCACACATTGTAATGGCCAATTCACACCTCAGACCTCTCCCACCCTTGGAAACAAAAGATATGTTAATGACCATTCACACCTCAAATTCCTCTCCTGCAGACCCCCTGCCAGGTGGCCATAACGACTCCCTCCACCAGACACCTTTCCCACCCTTGGAAAAAAAAGAAATGTTAATGAGCAACTCACACCTAAGCTAATGTCAACACATACTGCTGTCTCTGCTTCTACTCTCTGTATTTCTCTAAAACAGTCTGAAATAGTTAATCATTTACCACTTTTCAGTGCATTCTGGGCATTTGGGAGATTCTCCTGTGCTTATCTTTAAAAAACGGTTCTAAACTCAAATGCACATAAAAACGCGTTATGCAAACGTGGCTAAACAGACTTTTTTTAACCTACGTTTTCCAGCAGTCAGTTTCCATCGTTCAGAAGTGTCCTTTGTACATGGGGCCTTAAAGCATTTTTACAGCTAAAAAACTCCTCGTGAAACCCAATTGGCCATGGGTTTTTTCCCCAGCCAGAAAACATTTCTGCCAAAAAAAAAAACGCTAATTAAAGCCTATGTGTGCATGGACACATAGGATAACATGCTGGGGAGTTTACTGGCTGTAGAAAAAGAACGTTAAAAGCCAAAAACAGCCGCTGTAGAAACAATCAGTGTGCATGAGGCCTAATAGCCAGCGGTGGAGATCCCTCCCTCCACGCCACTAGCAAGGATGAGGGAAACAGACCGATTTTCTCTGGTTCATCCTGCAGGCCGAACGAGAGCAGGTCCAGCAATGTTGGGTCATCTTAAGCAAATGCCTCAATTGTTATAGGAGGTGTCAGTAATACAATTACCTTTGTATTGTTTTCCGATTTATCAGACTGGATTTTTACAGCCATGGTTAGCATGCTGAGACTGTCCACTCCCACACCATTGCTGGCTGCGCGATGACTGGCTCCATCTTCTCCAGAAGGATAGATGGTGGGCTCCAACCAATGAGGTCGGGGAAGGCTGGGGAGTCTGAGGTCATCTGAGACAACAACACCATCCAGCATACCTACAGAGGAACAAAACAGGGATAATGACCTAAGGCAAACAGTGATGGGCAATACCCCAGAGTAGACAACTAAAAGCATCCATCTGTTCTGATTGGTCTAACTGATGAAAGATGAAATGTTGTTGTGCCTTAAAGCTTCTTTTATTTATTTTTTTTATTACAGTGGACCTATACTTTAAACGTACAAAAGCACTAACTTTCCAGAGCTTCAAAAGGACCAACGCCCGGGAAAGGCCAGGGTCATGGTGTATGAATGACCTATGGATAAAGTCCCGGAGATGCAGACCTCCACAGATGGGGAGATCAACAAACTGAAAAAAAGCACACAGGTAGCACAAACACCTATCCAAGGTTTATTAAAATGTATAAAAAAGACATAAAACACACTCACAAAACGTAGCACAAGAGAAAGCCTGTAAGGCCACAGTGATGGCCGAAATGGTGGAAGAGTGTCCGACTGGTGGTGTGGTTGCCCCAACTGACGCATTTCGGGGATGTGCCCCTTTCCTCAGAGCTGAAGCCCTTCATGTCCTCGAAACGAGTCAGAGGGCCGACCACACCACCAGTCGGACACTCTTTGTGGCCTTACTGGCTTTCTTTTGTGCTACTTTTGTGAGTATGTTTTATGTCTTTTTTATACATTTTAATAAACCTTGGATAATGCGCTAGGTGTTTGCACCACCTGTGTGCTTTTTTTTTTTATACTCTAAATGTAGCCTTTGGAAACCCCCTAAAATAATGATACTTAAAATCCAGAGGATAAAATACATATTCAGACACTCCTTCTCTGAATCCATATCCTTGGTGATGCCTGTCACATGACCAAAATGTACATACATACAGTAGGAGGAAACAGATCTCCAATTACCAAGTTCTCAATATATAATAGTTAGTGTCCATCCTATTTATTAAGCTGACGTGGTTTGTTGAGGCTGCTCCCTACAGTGAAGGAAATACGTATTTGATCCCCTGCGGTTTTGGATGTTTGCCCACTCACAAAAAAATGATCAGTCTAAAAATCGAATGGTAGGTGTATTGTAACACTAACAGATAGAATAGCAACAAAAAATTCAAGAGAAATGCATGTCTAATAAATTATGCACTGATTTGCATGTTCATGAGGGAAATAAGTATTTGATCCCCTATCATTCAGCAGGATTTCTGGCCACATTCAAAGTCAGAAGGGATCAAATACTTATTTCCTTCACTGTAAAAGCGAGAGGGGATTCAGATATGTAGAAAGCAGGTGGCACACCAATGGCAATGGAGTCCAGAGTGATTTTTTTTAAATTGAAAAATCAACAGAATAAGAGAATCAACGCATTTTGGGAGTCCACATGCATGCTGCACCAGAAGCAGATTTGATGAAAAATCCATAAACACTTTCAAATCTTGAGTTCAATCATTGCTGAAGTTGCAGAGTACGTAAAACAGAACCAAAGTCCCGCTTTCAAAATCTGTGAGAAGGCAGGGCCTTTATTGCGGAAAAGACATGCAATGTCTCTTCTACAATAAATAAACCAACCTGACTGCTCACGGTCTTCTTTGAAATGTACAGTGAGTTGCGCAAGCAGAGCTCAGTGTCCATTCTGGCACAACACCTGTGTTCCAGGATAACTGCACTCTTGCATATGCGCAGAAGTGATGTCAACCCGGGCCAGCCAATGAAGATGGCTGCAGCCTGGCACACGGAATAAGCCAGGCAGAAGATGCCGGTGGTGGTGAGGGACATCAGACAGCTGAAGGAGCAGCAAGTATCACAGAGTTTTGCTCTGCTGCTTTAAGGGATATGTTCGCCTTTCGCAACACATTACACCGATACTCAGGGTGTAACATATAACATATTACGCTCAAAAAGTGCAGCACTGAAAATATAATATATCCAATGGTACTGTTTCTTTAAATAGTGCAAAATAGTTCATACAGTGCAAAATTCATATATATAGTGAGATTATTTGATATAACCATATGCGGTAAGTAATATAAGTCCATATAAGAGTGATATTCTGTCCTCAATTTATGATGTAAGGTGAAGATCCTGTGCTTAGGTGAAAATACATTCCATGTGACATTTGTTCCATCATTCGGTGAAGTGTAGGGAATATGGTAAAAATGCACACTCACCAGATGCGCATTTATAATACGCAGTATAATATAGAAGATGTAATAAGCCAGAGGTCCCCTTTATGGTGGAATGGGTATACAGCCTGGAAAGGATCTCCCTCCTCTGGGCCCTGGAGCTGCTCTGTAGCTTCGTGTCACATGGGTCGTCCATGATGCCGCTCAGCTGGCATATAAATGCGCATCTGGTGAGTGTGCATTTTTACCATATTCCCTACACTTCACCGAATGGAATAAATGTCACATGGAATGTATTTTCACCTAAGCACAGGATCTTCACCTTACATCATAAATTGAGGACAGAATATCACTCATATATGGACTTTTAAATAAATAAATATATATATATATATATATATATATATATATATATTACTTACCGCATATGGTTATATCAAATAATCTCACTATATATATATGAATTTTTGCACTGTATGAACTATTTTGCACTATTTAAAGCAACAGTACCATTGGATACATTATTAAAATTTTCAGTGCTGCACTTTTTGATCATAATATATTACACCCTGAATATCGGTGTAATGTGTTACGAAAGGCAAAATAGGAAAATAAAAAAAAAAAAAAAAAAAAAAAGATTTCCCCCTGTAAAGCAATGTCATAATGTGCTAGTATAATGTCATAATGTGCTAGTATGCACCACACACTAGCACATTATGAGATACTTACTGTAAAATGAAGCCCTCCAATGGCGAGCTTTCACTGCTGACAGGGCTTCCATCTTCACCTGGTCTTCCTTCCGGGTTCGCGGGGCCCCAGCCATCTGACTGGCTGAGCTGTGATAATGTCATTCCATGCGCACAGGAGTCACAGTTTACGGCACAGAATTTTGAAGAGATGGCACAGTTATGCCGTTTCTTCAGGCGCATACGGTGGTGCTGCTCACTGGAATATTTTGTAAATGGTGCATGTTTAAGGATATATTCATTTTACCTACAGGTAAGCTTTATTAAAGCGGAGTCCCACCTAAAAAAAACAATAAAAGTCAGCAGCTACAAAAACTGTAGCTGCTGACTTTTAAAATACAGACACTTACCTGCCCCTTGGTCCAGCGGTGTCTTCACCACTGCTGGTTTCACCGGCCATCTTCTCTCCCTGGCGCCGGCATCTTTAGTGTGGGCACCCGGCTGTGACAGCTTGTTGCTTCACAGCGGGTGCCCACTGCGCATGCGTGAGAGGCGCTGCACATTGTGAATGGCCCCATAGTTTTTTACGGGGAGGGAGGGGCTCCCCACCACTCCCCAAAGGTGCCAATCCTTAATGGGGAGCGGGGGACAAAGGCTTAAAGCTTTAAAAGCTTACCTGTAGGTAAAAATGTCAGACACAAGTTTACAACCACTTTGATTAGAACTGGCTGTTATGGCCACCTTATGTTTATTCATTTAAAAACAAGGTCTCATACAGATATCAAATGAGAAGAAATAAAAAAAACAGAAATGGCTTTCATGATGCAGACACCAGCAAACACCTATGGAAAAGAAAAAACAAAAAGGGAGGACCATCATACCCTGGTGACAGAGACTTAGACTGCTGGCATGTAGGCATAAGTAGTGTTTGTCCTCAAATCCTTCATATTTGGTCACAGTAAAGAGGGATCCATTATTAAATTCCAGCCAGAACTCCCCGTGTTTATCTTCCATTATCTGCCCATCGGGATGCTGCATGTGAACACGAATTACCAGATATTAATTTATGGAACAAATACTTTTGTTAAAGCTTACATTTCATAAAAAACAGCTAATTTACACCACCACCTCACACTATACAGCCAAGCAGAGGACACCAGTTACAGCTAGGGAATACAGTAGTGTCCTCTCTCGGCCCTCAGACTGTTCACTGGCCAGTGAGCAAACAGCAGTAGAATGAATAGGTCATCCCTCTGTTCACTCTGTTCTCTCTTCCTAATGGTATGCTTATTGTCAATACATCTGCATTCAGCACACCTATTACACACATATTACAAACATTAGGGCTATTATTCGTTATGTCCGCATGAATGTTAAGACATGAGACCCCTAAGTGTCAGTATTTAAAAAGGAAGAGCAAGGACATTTTCTCTCCTTGCCAGATCTTGGTCCCAACCAGGGGCGGACTGACAACTCATGGGGCCCCCGGGCAATAGGGGATCATGAGGCCCGTGTCCTTGCCCAAACTCAAAAAAGCCTATGAAAAAGGTACCAGGGGCATCTCATGGGGCCCCCTACTGACCCCGGGCAGTGCCCAAGTTTCCAAATGGTCAGTCCGCCCCTGGTCCCAACCATCACAGGTGGAGTGAAAGATTATCTACTAAAATGGCTCTGACCACTCTGTAGTAGAGAGGTCACTCCTCCCAGGTAAGTGACACTATTCTTTTTGGTGAAGGACAGCACAAGCCTGAGAATTATGAAGAGGGCTGAATGAAAAAAAACCTTGAAACGATTCTGCCACACATTTGAGGTGAATGTGGGAAGCCTCCCCGCTGCGCTATTGTATTCTGATAGTTGGGTCTCTGCTACTGTCAGAAAACACTGATCAGTACTACGGCTGACTAATCAAAGCAACATTTTTTAACAAGCCCATTCTAGAATAGCTGATCCTAATATTGAGTGCTCTTGAACAGGAATGGCCAGAGATTGAAATCTGACTGGTCCTTGCTGATCCAGCAGAATTTCAATCCACCTATGGCCAGCTTTAGTGTTGAAATTTTGTGTGGTATTGCCTACAACACAAGTGTCAAACTGGTGGCCCTCCAGCTGTTGTCAAACTGCAAATCCCACAAAGGCATTGCAAGATTGACAGTTTCAAGCATGACTCCCAAAGGTATAGGCATGATGGGACTTGTAGTTTTGCAGCAGCTGGAGGTCCGCCAGTTTGACACCCCTGGCCTACTGTCAGGGCAGGAACGATGGAATGGGAAGGCAGGCCTATGGTAAGGTCACGCAGCGACTGACGACAGCCACTACCCACAGACCACAGAGTCCTTCAGGGCGCGGAGTCTAAGCCCCAGGCTACCTTTCACCAGAGCCCCTGATGGTGGGGATGGACTTGATGCAGCCTGAGACCAGGTCGCGGCCCCCCCGAGTAACCCCAGCTGCGGTAACGACTGCCGCCAATGGCGTACAGCTGGTGGGAGCTAGATGGGAACAAGTGTAGCGTAGTCAGACAGGCCAGGTCAATAACAACGGAGCAGACAGTACTAGACGGTAGGCAAAGAATACTCAGGTCACGGGCCGGGTCCAGCAACGGGAGGTCAGGTAAAGGGTTACAGCAGCGAATAGTCTTGTCCAAGCCGAGTCGGTTACCAGGAGAGCAACAAGAACAAAACAAGAGCTTGCGACAAGGGAACATACAGGACACGAATGCAGAGAGCACTTGCAGACAGCAGACTTAAATGTGATCAGCCACACCCTTCCGAGGAGGAGCTGCAGAAGCCTGAAGGTATAAAGGTTCCCACCATGCTTTGCAGAAACCTAAGATGGATGCCAGCACATGGGAGATGCACAAGCTCTGAGGAAAGGTAGGACCTTGACACCTACAACATTCATCAACTGTACTGTTAATGCCCCCAAAACATGCTTCAGCAAAAATCAGAACACATATAGAATTTATATGAGACCATCACTATGTTACCTTAACATCTGTATAAATGGAGACCAGTCCATGGTTAATGTTAACCAGGACAGACAGGAAACTCTGGGAGTGTTTGCTTTGACACTCTAGCTTCTTTCTTCTGCGACAGTGATAGTTTGAATCCAGAATATAATCATACTGCAAGGTTTCCTCTTCTGAGCCACTGTCATCTTCTGTGGAGAAAAGACCATCGCTAGTTAAAGGACTCCAATAAAATAGGTAAAATGTATTGCTTAAAAGTGAACTTTCCTTTTCCCCAATCATGTAAACACAGATGTACCTTCACAATCTGCTTCAGCTGTTTTACACACCTTGTACATTTAAAGGCAAATTTGTCTTTGTTGCATCTGAACATCGAATTTTACATTACGAAATACAAGAGATAGAGATAACATATACAAGGAGGTAAATGTACAGAAATCTGGAATGGGAGGATGATCCAGGAAAGGAATATAAATAATGCTATATAGCAGAAAAATAACAGGACCAACCATATTTGTTACAGAGATGTCAAAAACAGAATTTCTAGGGTGGGTACCCCTGGATGAGACATGGAGAACTAAAGAAATACCTCTGTATAATACAACAAACAAACCCAAACAAGAGAAAAGATAGAGGAGTATAGAAAGAAAAGAGAGAAGCTAGTGTTGGAAATAGTAAAGGAAAGACCTTGTACATTTGAAAAAAGCAGTCTACGCAGAATAGACAGGGCTGTTACTGATATGCAAACATTGACTTTTGGCCAGAAGTCATCGTTCAAGTCCTCATCTCCATCTCTCCTATTGGCCAGTGATATATGCAGAGAGCAGTGATAGGTGACTGTCACAGTATGGGGAGAGGTGTCTTTAACATTCAAACTGGGATTAACAGTGTGACTTCACCAGTGGAATGGAACAGGGAAAAAAATGGGTCTTTACTTTTTCTTCATGAACCACTTACTAGTGAATTTAGTGAGCTCTGAACGGTGTATATACACTGAGTAGGGTAAAGTTGCACCAAAACAGTTTGTTTTTTTTTAAATCGGCGCGTACGAGTACCAGTACATTTGTGGTTTGATTTGTGCCCATACAAAAACGAATGTGCTCAAATCGCACCCATAGAGAAACTGCATATGATTGCACTGCATTCCTCTTCAAATCACATGATTCCTTGCAGTGAGATTTGAGCCCATTCATTTTGTATGGGCTCAAATCGCACTGCAAAAGGTATTTGTTTCAGGTATCGGAGCATTTGTATGAGTACTCGTGCAAATGCTTAGAAGCGACACCGGTGTAACCCCACAATCAACTAAACAGAAAGCCACCAATTGGGGCCAAAGCAAAAAAGCAGATGTTCAAACCCTACTCTACTCCATTCCCAAAAAGTAATAAAATACCATTTTTAAAAAAAAAAAAAAAAAAAAAAATAATGTGCAGTGGCACTTGCACTTACCATAATGAAGAGTGGATTTGAACCCACTGTTGGCATCTTTACTGAAGGTGTTAATCAGCTGGCTGGCAACAGACAGGCCTATTCCATAAGACAGGTTTTCAAATGTTTCCACCGGTGAAGGGGCCGTGGGTTCCCAGAGCAGCAAGTCATTGCTTATCCTGGAATACAAAAATTAATAAACCATACACTATAGAGACAAAAGTATGTGGATATCCCTCCAAGCTGTTTAGTTCAGGTGTCTCCATAGAAGGGTGCGATTAATGCTTACAGAATACAGATATATTTGGACAATTGTGTGCTAGCAACCCTGTGATAATAGTTGGAGAAAGGTCCATTTGTACTATGAAAACACAAGCAAAAGAGGGCTTGCCAGCCTAGTGCATTATCCCATACACCATTTATTAATGATAGGCAAAAAATATACTTACAAACCATATTATAGACACAGCATATAAATTTGTTTCTAGGTTGCTCATTCCACTTATCGTACTCCAGAGCTTGGGAGGACACCACCAGGATCCTAGCTGGCTTACGCATTTCAAGGGTAATACCTTCTACTTCACATGATGGTTTGGCTCTGAAGAAGAGGGTACTATCCTTGAAATGCTCCCTCTTTTGCTTGTGTTGTCATAGTGTGTTTACGGAGCCTCCCTAGTCCTGAGAGAGCAGCAAGGCTTGGCATGTCCTTAATCAGTGTTAAGAAGCAGATGTACATGAAAAACTGGTACCAGAATATCAAAATGATGCACAGGAGGTGTTTTGCTTTTCTCTTCTGTCCCAGCACGACTGTGCCCCTGAACACAAAGCCAACTATATAACATGGTTTGAGGAGTTTGGTGTGGAGGAACTGCACAGAGCCCTGACCTTAACCCTACTGGAATGAATTGAAACTTACGAGCCAGGTCTTCTCATCCAACATCAGCACCTGACCTCGCACACACAAAGACCTGGTGAGCAAGCCAGGAGTGGTGAAACGCGTCAACTAAGGTTTGTTTTGGGTTGGAGATATCACTGTATGCAGTCTACTTACTGATTATTAAAATTACTGCAAGGAGAGCTAATTGGAGTGCAGACGATTTTTCCTTTTTTTCAACCAACTCCCATACCAAACTTCCGAAATGAGCAGAAGACAGACAATTGAAGAAAAGGCAAATAAATGAGAAGGACCACATACAGCCCAACTTTACAGACAACCTGTGCCCAAGCACCTGCACACTTTACTTACCTGTTATATAATTTCTCATAGAAGACTTTGTTTGGTAGCACCAAATAAAACACTGGGCAAGGTCAGTTCTAGCACATAGTGGGAATTGCTAATAGCCTTTTCCTGGAACTCTGTCATTTCTATGGTATCTCCAGGCATTACCATCTGAAAAGCAGAACAGCAGATAAATTACAACATAAATACACAGAGCTCACCAAAGTTCAAAACTGTCTTATGTGAAGATGAAGGAATAAGAAAAGGAATATTCAATCTAAAGTTGATCGAGTTATCAAAGAGCCAATTGGTGTTTCTCCCAAGCAGCTAGTTTGATCCAAATGTTATTTTCAAATCATTTTTTTAATCCAGGTTTGAATGTTTTGAAGCAATACAGACCACCTTATAAATACGGCCAGGTTCTAAAAGGTCAATTTAAGGTGAAAGTAAAGGCAAATCCTAACTCTAAAACTACTCTCAGCCACATTCTAAGCCTAATCGATCTAGCCCTGTATAAAAATAAAATAAAAAAATCACTTCGGCTACCAAGTCCTCTTCACAGAATGTGGTGGCTGTAGAGACGAACTACAAAGTTTTGACACGATTGTATTTAGTCCTGGCAAGGATTGCTAAATATACCCCCGGCTACTCTCCAGAATGCCTTAGGGGTTGTGCGATGGTCAGAACTTACTTTCATATTTGGTGGTCTTGTCCGGTTACCCGAACCTTCTAGACTGAAATTTTTCACATGCTATCCCTGTTATTTGCTAAACCACTACCACCTGACCTGATTGTAGCCCTCTTAAATCTTCATCCCCCCTCTATCTCTAAATCCCAATTTAAACTTCTCCTACAAATCACCACAGCAGCTAAACAGACCATGGCCAAAGCGTGGAAGTCCCCATCTCTGAGTATTCTTGCAGTTAAGCATAAAGTTACCCAAGCAATGATCCATGCCAAAGTGGAAGCTACTGTCCTAGATTCGGTCCCCAATTTCCTGTCGATATGGACCCCATGGGTTGACCGGTTCCTTTCAACGAACTTTGATGATACGCTGCTTCTACCTTAGTGCTATCTAGCCTTTCCCTGTGTAGGCACTATTATTATTATACAGTATTTATATGGCGCCAACAGTTCGCTCAGCGCTGTACATTACAATGGGAGACAATACATGAGACAATACAATAACAATACAGTGCGATACACGAGGGGTTAGAGGGCCCTGCTCCTTGGAGCTTACAATCTAGGAGGGAGGGGATAGTGGTACAGGAGGAATAGCTGCGAGGGATGGAGTGGTAGGAAAAGTGGAGGAGATCAGCAATTAGCAGAGGGCGGCGTAGGCTTCCCTGAAGAGGTGGGTTTTCAGGGTGCACCTAAAGGAGAGGAGAGTAGGTGATAGTCTGATGGATTGGGGTAGGGAGTTTCACATTTAAATTATACATTGGTTTAGTCCCGAGAACCCCCCTCTCTCTCCTGGAAGTCACACATCTCTCCACCTCCTTCTCAGTATCTTCCTCTGGTCTTTCCTATCCTCCTCCCCTCCTCTCTCTCTTTTACCTTAGCCCTTTTTCCCTGGCCTTACGCAAAACCCTCATATAGTTTTAGGAAATATTGCTCTCCTTTCAGAGCTTGACCAGGTCTCATCTTCCTTTGTTATACAAAAAATTCAACTGTTCAAGGGTTCCTCATTAAATGTTTATCACACTGCAATCCCTTGTTGTAGGGCAACTTGCTCTCCCTTATCTCCCCCCTTTTTTTTTTATTGTTTTGTACATGTATTTGAGATGTCTTATGTTTGTTCTTTTGGCTCTGAAAATCACTAAAATGTTTGAACAAGAGAAAAAAAAAATCACTATACTTACCTTTTCTGCAGCCGTTCCGGTCCCACGCTGAGCTGTGGGCAGTGGCTTCAGCACGTAGGAGTGTGCAGAACAGGAGGTGCTGACAACGGATGCCCCAATTTTTTCTTTAGAGGGCTAGATAAGCTAGGCTTAGAATGTGGCTGAGAGTAGGTTCAGAGTTAGTTAGGATTTGCCTTTATGTCCACTTTAAACAAGAGGAATATGTTAGTTATATGTAGGGCTGGGTGGTCTGAGTTTGAGTTCACACAACAGTAAGTTACCAGCTTGGTTTCTGTCAACCTGAGAGCTTTGGGTGTTCCCACCCACCTTTATGCATTCCAACTCCTCCTGATACATTCGCCACATCAGAAAATCAGCAAATCCAGCAGGGATTAATGGGTAAAACACATGTTCAGAGCTGATTACGCTCTCCCATTACTGCTGTATCATTATCTATGGGTAATGAACTACCTTGACTCTAGCATACCTCTTCATTCTCAAACATGACTCTCCGGGAGGAGAAAGGTGAGGGCTCGGGCCGTTTGAAGTCGCACACATCTTTTAGTGAGTGAGAGGTCCCTTCCTCATCTTCGTGAAAATGCCCATCATCATCCTCCTCTGCAACTACTCGCTCCAAAATAGAATGCATGGCTACAGGATTGATTTTCAGCACAATCCTTGAGGGAAAGTTAAGAACACATTACACATTAATAAACGGTGAATACCAAGCACTTAACTATAACTACAGCAGGCCATGCTGCTGCTAGAGGGCTCAAAGGGTCTAAAACTGTAGAATCTCATGTAGCACCATGAGCCCAGTGCTAGTTTCTTTCATGACAGGAATTTTTTCAGATGTTCCATAAGTGTCCCTAACAGTTAACCTTCCCCCAACTTAATTTTTAAGTTAATCGCTAAAAAGAGCAATTAATGTCTAACCCCACCACCTCTACAAAACCTGATCCTAAACATGTTACTTAACCTCAACTAACATTTCAATAAAAATGAGCACTGGACACTTCACCTCCCCTCCCTTTATCTTAAATCTGAACTCCAGACAGATATAAAAAGACACAATGAAAGTGATTGTAAAGGATCTTTTATTTTTTTAAATAACAAACATGTTATACTTGCCTGCTTTGTGCAATAGCCTTGCACAGAGAGGCCTCGAACCTCTTCTTCTGGAGTTCCCTGCTGGTGCTCTTGGCTACTCCTCTTCTCCGAGTGCCCCCATAGAAAGCCACTTGCTATGGGAGTACTCATGCGGGCTCGATCCCCAGCTGCACTGTGTGTGTCAGTTGACACACACACACTGCAGCTCGGCCCCACCCTTTCGTCAGCGGATTTGATTGACAGCAGCAGGAGCCTGAGTCCAGTAAGGAGGGAGAGAGAGCAGTGCCGCTGCTCTTGGGCACTGAATCGAGGTCGGGTCCAGGTAAGTATTTGGGGACGAGCTGTACCTAAAAGGTTTTTGATCATAATGCAGAGAATGCATTAGGGTGAAAAAATATTTAGCTTTATTAACCTCCCTAGCGGTCTGATTATGTCCATATTTCCGTGCTGAAAGTGGTACATTTTTTTGCATGGAAACATGTATTTTTTTATTGTAGGCCTGTAATTTTTAGGAATGACTCACTGAAATCTGTCCGAACAAGAGTCTAGTAAACATCCCGGGTATGTTACAATTTGTAATACGAAATCATAAATTATAATTTAATAATCATAAAAAATAATAATAAATTTAATTCAATAATATAATCAAACCAAAAACACTGAAATGTGAAATATAGCGCCAAGTTCGCACATCACTGAGCAAAGTCGCAGAATCGTTTTCAGTGTCCGATGAGGAATTTCCCCCACGAATCATTATCACTCAATTCTACAAGTGGTTCTGATTTACTATCGCTGTTCTCTAGCCAGTCTAAAACCGCTTTTGACCTAAAGGGATGCTTTTTGGACTCCATGGACGTTTCTCAGTTTCCAGGCAGAAAGAACAGTAAAAATGCAGGCAGGGCGCCGGACAAAGCACTCGGGACAAAATGTATGTGAAATGGTTTGATACAGGAATGGAATACTATGTGATTTTAGTGTATTTAGTGAATGTCACTTTTTGTCATTTTCAAATTTCCCACCAGTTCTGTCCCCTGTACGTCCCGACGCTCGCAGGGGACGGAACCCAGATGACAGATGTCGACATCCGCCGGAGGACATTACAGGGGACATCGCGGGAGCGCAGGAAAAGGTAAGTGAACAGATCCCGGAGCAGCGCCGCATGGTAAGCCTGAGTGTAGCTCGGGGGGTTTACTGCTTGTGGTGCTGAAACTTTACCCCGAGCTACACTCGGGAATACCGCCAGGGAGGTTAAAGGTTTTACTTTAAAGGCAAGCAGGGCCCATAAGTGTGATTTGTTTTTTCACACTCTTGCAGTCCCGGCAGACAAAGCTAAGAGAGAAAGAGGCAGCACAAAAACCAATATACTGTGCCACAGTGCAGGAATATTCTGATTTGAAGACCGAGAGATGAGCTAATCAGTGTACGGTCTCTCCTTCACTGTCCAGTCACAGAGTGGAGGGGTATAAAAAAAAAAAAACTAAATATGTAAAACTGCAGCAGGGAAAAATCAGCACTTCTGCCTTGCCTTGTGCTATGTGTATAACAAAATATACAAACCTTGGCCAATCAAAATTGTCAGATGTTGTCATGTCTCCATCTAAATCATTGCTTTTCTTAACCACCTTTAGGAACTGGATTTCTGGTCCATCACTTTCTTCCTGGAAGGCACCTGCAAAAAAAATAAAAGAAAAAAAAAACAAATTCAGAAAGAATATTATCTTCACTTCTTACATACTGGCTGACTACACACTGAAAGTGAATTTCATAGAGTCCCCAAGGCATCAACAGCACAATTACTAATCTTAAAATGGAGCTTTAGTCAGAAAATTAAGAGCTAATAGATCACTTCATGCTGGCCCCTTTTGCAGGTATAGCTATGTAAAAATTAAAAACGGTTTAAAAATCCAGTAATGCACTGTCTGACCCTGCTCTGCATATGCTCAGTATTCTCAGCACTATACCTAAAATCAGAGCCACTAGAGGCCGATCAGCTGACAGCCTCAGGATTTACGGTTGCTAAAAAGGGGAAGAAAGCAACAAGAATGACAAAGACTATGTGGAGGAAACATAGATTAGGGAGGGAGAAAAGAAAAACAGGAGAGGTGACAAGACAAACTCTGCAGCCAATGAGACACAAGAGTGTTAAACATATCAGGATAGTGTCTTATCTCCCTGATATTCTCTCCTTTTTTCCCCCGCTGCCCCCACTGTAAAGCATCTGACAGCCTTCCTCTCTAGCTGAGCGAATCCATACAAACAAGGCTGGAAATGTACATAATTTAACTGAAGAAAGTGACATATAGTTTTTAAGACTGGGGGGGTTTCAATAGTGACTGCTCCGGGCTTCAACAAAATATGGCCTCCAGCAAGAAGAAACAGAAACACTGCTGGAGGCAATTTACAGCGCACAATAATTTTGGTAGCATAAATATTAATGTGGAATGTATGTTGCTTTGTTAAAGAACAATAATTTTCAAACTGTTATGGGTAAAGTTACACTTTAAATATAATCTCCGTTTAGCTATAGACCCCATTGAATCCTAAGCTAGGTCTATATACAATCTTGACTTCTCTCAAAGTCAAGGTTTAGCCCCATCTCCACCTGACCCTAAAAGAATCGCCCTTGATATCAAACTGTTTAAATGCAAAGCCTATATTGCCCAATAGGGGTTTGCCATTTGACAGTTGAATGTCAGAGGGACGGAAACAAAGAGTTATGGGATTTAATCACAGCTTGCAAAGATGTAAAAGACCTGACCCTGTGCACAGTCTGAGTATAGACTCAAAGCGGCTCCACTGGGATTGTTTTGAAAACTAATGCAGATACCCATTTTCATTTCAGCACTGTTGTTAAGACCACATTTAGACTTAAAAAGGTTTATGTTTACTGGTTTGTATAAACATTTTTGGAACTTAAAGTGGACATAAAGTCTCAAAACTTACCTGTCCAACAGCCCTGCGCCAATGCTGGCATCATCCGATTGCCAGTTTTTGGGCCTCTTCATTGGCTGGCGGGGGATGGCATCACTCCTGTGCATGAGGCCATCATCCTGGCACTCGGAGACTGGCTCAGCACTGTAAGCGCAGCTCAGTGTACAGTGCTGGAGGAGACAGCAAGTGGGCAAGCAGGGGCATTTTAGCTCCCGGCCAGCTCCAGCGCTCTTCTACTCTGCCCTAAGGTCCAGTCTGTGGGCAGAGGCTCAATGTCATACAGGGTTGAGACTGGAGTACACACCTTAAAGAGCAGCTTCAGGGGGACCAGTCGCAGCTCTGGAGAGAGCCTACTGGAGCGAGGAGTAAGGCAAGTGTTTACACCGTAACCCTTTGCCCCTAGACTAAACAAGCCTTTGGACATTTTATTTTCCTGGGATTGGGCTTTATAGCATGTTTTATATAATGTAGTTGTCTGAACATTTACTTTCATGGGGTGCTGTAAGGTGGAGCTTCAACGTGTGTGACGTCATCACGTTTTGGAGGGACGGCGGCCATTTTCCTGGTTGGAAACTCAGTTCAAATGCTGGTAACCATCCAATACAATGTACAAGTAACTTGTAATAAACAGGATGATTTTATTATAGAACTACTACACTATGAGTGGTCTTCTTTTTCTATTCCTTATCTATATACTGGATGGGAGTCTTATTTCAGGGCCTGTAAAGATCTTTTGAGAAGACGACTGAAATCTATCTTGGTGAGGACCGCCAGTTTTATGATCTGCAAATATTCATCTTCCATCTGAGCTGCGTATATTGACCAGTGTGTTTCGGTCAGAATTTCTGGTAAGAGGCAGAACCATTCGGGTGTTTTGGTGATGGTGGATTGTAGGAACTTTGCTTGGGACATTTTATTGGAATTTTTTGTGACTAATTGGACTTTATGATTATATGCTTTTTATTAGCGCCGCATTTTATATCATATTTTTTATTATTTATATTGCCTGTTATGCAAGCTACTTTCTTTGATGTATATATTTTTTTAGTTATATTATTAGTGTATTTACCCAAGCGCAGGTTTATGGTTTTCAGTGTACTTACTGTACATACCTGCTAGCTCTTTAAAAATGAACTCCAGTTTCAATTGTTCTGGGGAAGAACCACCTAGGACCTCAGTCTTAAATTCAGCATCGGAGAACCTCAGATGCAGGATCTCTTTTTGCAGAGACTTCTTGAACCAAGGACCCCGCTCCTGGTCTGACCGCAGGTCAGGAATAGGGAACCGCACCGCGAGGTGGAGAGATGGAGCAGAGACTAGCACAGAGGTCCGTGTGTTTACTGGGGAACGAGAATCATCCAAGAGCACCTCCGGAAAGTCCTTGTGCTGGGAAGAAAATAAAGCAAACAGTCCATGAAAATAAGCTAGCAAAAAAATGAACCAAAATTCCATCTTTATAGTAGGCACCTCAAGGTTAGAATACACAAAACTCACCAAACTAATGTGTTTGTTGTAGGAGGTGAACAGATGTGACGTCATCATTTCCACTGTGCCCAGTTTCTGTGACTGGAGCAAGGAGTTCAGTCTATCTACAATAGTAATGTCCAGCTCACACGAGGCAGAAGTCAATTGGATCTGAAGCTCTGATCTCTGTGGGGCTGAACCCAGTCGTCCAGAACTGCCCTGAAAATTAAAAAAAAAAAAAACAAAATAATCTGTGCATAAAAGTCATTAAAATGAATTGGAGTGACAATATAGAATGAAAAGGGGAACAATAAAATTTGCTGGAACTGGTGGCTTTTGTTTTTTGATGCAGTAGATTACAGCAAAAAAGGGGGGGGGGTGAGTAAGCAAAAGAGGGGTTAGGTTTGCAGCAGAGAAGGGCAGGGTTGGGGTTACAGGAAGGCTTAGTGTGTGAGCTAAAGGGAAGGATAATGTGAGGGTTAGTGTTAGGTTTCTTGAAGGACTAATGTTGACAGGCTTTGGTTCATGTCATAACATTTTTTCTCATGTCTATGGAAATAAAAAAAAAAAAGTAGCTTGAAGCAAGTCAAATGATCTTAGAAATGTCTTAAAATGATGTCAAAAGGAAGCTCCATTTGTCCACTGAAAGAAGCCCATATCGTAATGGGCACAAGTCCCTGTGTGTGCACACTGGGCTGTCATTTGTCTGTAGGCACCTCTTGTACCCTAGCGTTTAGCCTAAATTTCATCTCTCTAAATCATTGCTTATGCCAGTGTTTCTCAACCCTTTTTCAGTCAAGGCACCCTTTCAAATTATGGACAGCCCAGGGGCACCCTTTCAAATTATGGACAGTCTTGAGGCACCTCATTCTAAAATGTGAAAACTATTCTAATTGTTTTTATATAACGCAGCAACACCCACACGTGTAGGATACCCAACATTAGAGGTAATTTATTTTTCCAAAAGCAAATACACTTTTGCACACTGGTACTGACTAGTATTCCAGGGTTTCTCCTCTCCATCACGTTTTATCCATCGCTGAGCTAATGTGACCCCAGCACTGATGGAGTGGGGAGGGGGAGGGTCAGACTAGGATGCTGTGCAGACAGCTCGCATCCTCCCTATCAACTGATGATGTCATTGGTTGCCAGGATGCCAGCAGCTACAAGGTCATAATGGTGCACAATGGAAATCTGTGGCTTTGTGCAACTAAATGACAGGCTTCTTCCACCCGCTGGCTTGTATACAGGTTTTGGGCAATTTTTAGACATTTTGCCAAGACACGCCAGAAGAAACCTCAAGGCACCCTGGTTGAGAAAGACTGGTTTATGCTATTAGGAAAGTTTAATAACTGTCATCTAACAGCAACTGTTTTTTTTTTTTATTCCCAATAAAAGATTTTTCTTATTGACGGAGAGTATTGGGGTTATTTACTAAAACTAGAGAGTGCAAAATCTGGTACAGCTCTGCACTGAAACCAATCAGCTTCCAGGTTTTATTGCCAAAGCATAATTGAACAAGCTGAAGTTAGAAACTGATTGATTACTATGCAAAGCTGCACCAGATTCTGAGTGCTCCAGTTTTAGTAAATCTCCCCCTATGAGTCATGAAGTTATCACTGAGAATGTTTATAACTTTCTCCCAGGTTATACCCTCCTAAAGAGCCATTGGCTGATTGGTATTATGACTTTTGAAGACAACACTGTAGAATTGCCCTGGTATATGCCGGTTTCCTATACAGAAGAAAACAGGTTTACAACACTAAAAATTGTACCAGGAACTGAAACATTAAGCTGTGTGGCTTTACTACAGTAGCTCTTGACCGGGGTTAGCAGGTGACGGGTAGACCGCAATCCTTCCTTTCTGACCCACAGAACCTGGACAGGAGGGGTGGCGAGGGCGGCATTTACTGGAATCGATCTGTATTTTTCCTCCTGCAGCAGCAGAAAGTAGGCTCCTCTTCCTCTCCCTCCCGCTGGCATTCAGCTGCCACGGGAAGAAAATACAGGAAAATGATACCAGTATATGCCACCCCCGCCATCCCTCTCGTCTCTGTTCCTTTTCTTTCTGCTGCCCAGAGTCCCCGTGTGTTCCTCTGGTCTCACCCCTCCTCCCCCTTCAGTGCTGCTGGCTTCTCCACCTCTCTTTTCCTTCTGGCTGCTGCAGGGGGTTGCACCCAGGATGGAGAGCAGGGAGGGGGGCCAGATAATATGTCATTTATTGCCCCTTCCTTTTCTGAATGAACACGGTGCATGATCGGTAACAATCATACACTGTGTTCATTCATAACTGAAGCATCGTAAACTGTGTTTACCATGTTTCAATTTGTGAATGAGCAAGAAGCTGCTCAGCACAGAGCGCTTCCCATTAATTCATTGTCCAGTGAAGCTGAGGCTGTAGAGAAAGAAACTGGGGAATGTGTCCTCAGTCCCTTTTCTCTGTCTGAAAAGTGAGACATCAGGGTTCCGTCTAGATCCCTGAGATTTCACCAAAGCTCCTAAAAAAAATTACAAAAATGAAATAAAAAAAAATAAAAAAATAAAACACTGACACCATCCACTGACCTACTGACATCAACCCATGCCCTACTGACATGTCAACTGCTCTAATGACCGACATCACCCTCTGCCATACTGACACCATCCACTGCCCTACTGACATAGTCCATTCCTCTACTGACTGGCACTATCCACTTTTAGTAAGGCAAGTTTATATTTTTACAATGACATTTGTTTTAATGCATTTTTCTAAGTTTTCCTTACTATTTAGTTAGTCCTTACTACTTAATTTCTTAAACAAATAAGGGTGCGGAATCCCAGTGATCTTTGATCTCCTGTTCAGGTAGATCTTCGCCTTTCAAAGGTTGCCTACCTCTGCTCTTGACTAATAGAGTGCAGTAACAGAGGAATCTGAACATGTTGGAAGGGTCATTTGATACTGCATTTACTTCTGAGTATCCGAGTGTGCACGGACTTGCAAGACCTGACACCTTTATTTACTTCCCTCATCTGGTGATCCACACTTAGATTTGCAGGAGCTCCACCAATCGCTGCACTTTAATCCCCAACTCAACAGACATGTGGGGTTACTGTCCAATGAAAGAACTGAACATTCATTCAGTAATAAGAAGGGGGTATGATCTACATTCAGCCACACAGATATTGCATAACAATGCCTAAATTATGTCCTGCAAACTTGATCATCACCTGATTTTCCTATAACGCAGCTCCAGCTGAAATTTTATTTTCATTTTGGAAAAGGTGGGAAAAAGTTAGAAACTGTCGGGTTTTGTTGTCATCTGGATTTCTGTTGGGGAAATCTTCCCTCACTGTCTAGGAAGGATAATAATCGCCTATAATCGCCTGAGTTCCCACCTCACCGACAACAACCTCCTTGATCCCCTACAGTCTGGCTTCCGCCCCCTACACTCCACCGAAACTCACCAATTACCTACTAACCGCCAAAGCTAATGGCCACTATTCAGTGCTCCTACTCCTCGACCTCTCTGCGGCTTTCGACACGGTTGACCACCCCCTCCTCCTCAAAAAAAACTACACTCTCTTGGCCTCAGAGACTCCGCTCTATCCTGGCTCTCTTCCTATCTATCACAACGCTCCTTCAGTGTTACCTATAACGCTGCCACCTTCTCTGTTGGGGTCCCTCAAGGTTCTGTCCTCGGGCCCCTTCTCTTCTCCATCTACACTTCCTCCCTTGGCCAATTGATACACTCTCACGGTTTCAACTACCATCTCTATGCTGACGACACGCAAATCTCTCTACCCCTCACCTCACCCCTTCAGTCTCTGCCCGTATCACAAGCCTACTGACTGACATATCGGATTGGATGTCACTCCACTTCCTCAAACTAAATTTTTCCAAAACTGAGCTCCTAGTTTTCCCCCCAGCCCGCACCCCCCCCCCCCCCCCCCCGACTTCTCCATCAAGACCAACACCACCATCAGTCCCTCCCCTCAAGCCAGAGTACTAGGTGTCATCCTAGACTCCAATCTGTCCTTCCAGCCCCATTCGCTGAAAAACTCATGTAGACTTCACCTCCGCAACATCTTCTACGTCCATTTCTGACCCCAGAAACCACTAAGCAACTCATTCACTCCCTTATTATATCACGCCTCAACTTCTGTAACTCCCTCCTCATCGGCTTACCTCACCGCAGGCTATCCCCGCTTCAGTCTATCTTGAAAGCTGCGGCGAGACTCATCCACCTTACTAAGCGCTCTCCGTATCCGCCACCCCTCTCTACCAATCCCTTCACTGGCTTCCGATTGCCCAACAGATAAAATTCAAAATACGAACATTGACGTATAAAGCGGTTCATAATACTGCCCCAAAACTACATCACCGATCTGCTATCCAAATACCACCCAAAACGTACTCTCCGCTCCTCACAAGACCTCCTTACTCTCTAGTTCCCTGGTCTCCTCCTCCCATGCCTGTCTCCAGGACATCTCCAGGGCCTCCCCCATCCTCTGGAACTCCCTACCCCAATCCATTAGACTATCACCTACTCACCTCACCTTTAGGCGCACCCTGAAAACCTATCTCTTCAGGGAAGCCTACCCCGCCCTCACTAATTACTGAACTCCTCCACTCTTCCTACCACTCCATCCCCCACTGCTATTTCCTCCTGTACCACTATCTCCTCCCTCCTAGATTGTAAGCTCCAAGGAGCAGGGCCCTCGAACCCCTCATGTATTGAATCGTATTGTTACTGTACTGTCTCCCATTATAATGTACAGCGCTGAGCAAACTGTTGGCGCTATATAAATCCTGTATAATAATAATAATAATAATAATATGATGTTTCTTAAAGCCTAGGTGTAGTAAAAAAAAAAAAAAAAAAAAAAACACAAAAATAAGCACAAGGGACATGACTTTCTACTAATGTGCTGTGTCCCTTGTGCTGCTGGCTCCTGGTTTCCTTGAAAACCTCCTTTATTGATATTCCCCAACACCGCCATCACCATAATATTCTGGTGCAGAGGGGGTTAACAGAACTGAGGGAGCTGTCATTTGTACTCATCAAAAGTCCCAAACTATGCCTGACCTTTCCGCCCAATTCTTTCATTTATAGAGGAGGATACTTTAGCTTCTATGAAAGAAACACGATGAATGAATGGGGGACAGGTGGATGATTGACATATTTGTGCCCTGCAATCACAGAAGCTGTACTCACCTGAGCTCCTCTGTTCTCTGAATGCTTATAATGCAGGTGAATGCATGGAGATGATCTGCCGTCCACATCCTTTTCTAGGTCAAATTTTAGCAGCTTCACAAAAAGAATTGAAAAAAAAAAAAAAAAAAAAAAGTATATGCTGTTAAAGGAAATTCGTACAGAGAGAAAAATATAGTCTGCCATTGCCAACCTCTATCTGAAAATGTCAGTTGCCTGGTTATCTCTAGCTACAATAGCTTCCAAACATACCGTGCATTCATAAAGTATTCAGACCCCCTTCACTTTTTTAAATTCTGTTATGTTGGAACCTTCGGCCCAATCTGAGGTCCTGAGTGCTGTGGAACAGGTTTTCATTGAGGAGATCTGTACTTTGCTCCATTCAGCTTTCCCTCAAAACCCGACCAGACTACCAGTCCCTGCTGCTGAAAATCACCACCACAGCATGCTGCTGCCACCACCATGGTATTGGGCAGGTGATGAGCGGCGTCTGGTTTCCTCCAGACATAACATTTAGAATTGAGGCCAAACAGTTCAATCTGGGTTTCACCAGACCAGAAAATCTTGTTCCTCACAGTCAGAGAGTCCTTCAGGTGCTCTTTTGTAAACTCCAAGCAGGCTTTCATGTGTTTTGCACGGAGGAGAGGCTTCTGTCTAGCCAATCTGCCAAAAACAACAGATTGGTGGAGGGCTGCAGTGATGGTTACCCTTCTAGAAATGTGTTCCATCTCCACACAGGATCTCTGGAGCTCAGTGAGAGTAACCATCAGGTTCTTGGTCATCTCTCTTATTATGGCCCTTCTCCAATTACTCAGTCTGGCCTGGCAACCAGCATTTGGAAGTGTTGTGCCAAACTTCTTCCATTTGAGAATTATGGAGGCCACTGTAGCAGGTCTTTGCCTTGCAACAATCCTGTCTCTGAGCTCTGCAGGCAGTTCCTTTGACCTCATGGCTTTTGCTCTGATACAGTATGTAATATCAGCTGTGACGCCTTTTCTAGAGATGCGTGTGCCTTTCTAAATCATGTCCAATCAATTTATATTTCCACAGATGGACGCCAATCAAGGTGTAGAAACAGCTCAGCAACAATCAAGAGAAAAAGTTCAAGTGTTGTTGCAGAGGGTCTGAATACGTACGCCAATGTGATAGTTCAGTTTTTCCATTTTCATAAATTCACAGACATTTTTAAATTCTGTTTTCACTTTGTCATTATGGGGTACTGAGTGTAGATTAACAATAAACAAAAAGAATTTAAAACAACTGTAGTTAGGCTGCAGCATAACAATATTGAAAAAAATGAAGGGGGTCTGAATACTTTATAAATGCAGTGAGTTGTGAGTTATAACTCACTTTCTGCATGCTTGTTCCTGCCATTGACTGGAAGTAATGATCAGCAAGACTACTAGCATTTTTTAGAGGGTGGTTAGTAATGGTTTTGTACATATTTTCAGTATAAAATTCTATAGATGCACCGAAATTTCAGCGGCCGAAACATATCGGCCAAAAATAACCCTACCCTACTAGCATTTTGCCGAAAGGAAAAAGTGAGCCGATACAGGTGCTGATAATGAGAGAGCCGGCCCCAATTAAGGACAAACTTTCTATTTGGTCGGGAGATTTTGGGGGGGCTGTGTGTACTGGGGGGGGGGGCAGCAGAGAACGGCATGAGAGGAGTTAAGCAGTGTATACAGCGAGGGAGCAGTGTATATAGACAGGCTCCTCCTCTTGCTGCAGCCAAGTGTCATTGCTGATTTTTAAATGCAGTTGGCAGCTTTTTTTTTCATCACTATAGCTCTGAGAAGGAGCTGTCATTTGCCCCGCCGTTAAAGTAAACAAAGGGGCGGAGTCACCCAGTGACATTACCCAGTGACCCCGCCCTTTGCTTACTTTAGAGGTGGGGCGAATAACAGCTCCTTCTCGGAGCTATAGTGCAGAAAAAAAAATAAAAAGCCGGCAACGGCCTTTAAAAAAGGTCAATGACATTTAGCGGTGGCAACTGAAGGAACCTGAGTGTATACAGTGCTACCTCACTGTATACACTGCTCCTCTCCTGCCCCTCCTTGCACACACCCCACCCCCTACAAAGAGGATCTGTCACTTATATGCTATCACATAGGGGACTACTTTTCCCTTATATGATAGCAATAAAATCATAAGTTAAAAAAATATATAAACAATAAATGGAGCCTCCCCACACACGCAGACAGACAATTCCGTTTCGGACAAGTGCGTCCGAAACTTTCAGTTTCAGCACCAGAATTTTCATTTCGGTGCACCACTATAGAATTCATTTTACTGAATCTACAGTACATTGCCCTCTAATCTGCAATAAAGGACACATCCATCCGGGTTACCTCTGTATAGTGAGGAGGAATAGACTGTGAATCGCTGGGGTAAAGGCACTCTAAGAACTCAGTCTGCCCAATACACACGTCAGTGCTGAAACTCCGAGCACCAGACCTCTGGCGCTGTTCATGGGAGATTTTTATTTGAGTTCCTAGGAATCTTTCAAGAGATAAAGACAGCAATTAGTTTCAAGTAAATGCATATTAGAGATTAAATCATGTTCTGGCTATACACGGCTGTTAAATAACCACTATTATCAATCTTCATAGCGTATATAAAAAAAACAAAACACATAAATTTAATATACTGGAGCTTATCAGTACTTAGTTGTGGTGGATGCATTAGCGGTTTTTCCAAGCTAAGTACATTTTCAAGATGTACAAGAAATTTTAATTTGAGCCTGACAAATCAAGTATCACCGCTTTATACCGAATTGCTATTTCAAACAATATTATATGCTTTCCAAGCAATTTTCTATGAACTACACAATCCCTCCTCATGATGACATGGAGATAAAGGAGAGGTTTTTGTAGTCCAACACAACAGAGAAGCATAGGGTGACAACATGGCTTCTCTAGGTTAATCTGCACAAATAAATTCAGGCTCGCTGCTACGGTACATCAAAAGAGGTTTTCTATGTGACACCACAACACTGCCTTGAGGTGGGTTGCAATGCAATGTATAAATGCAAACATAACATTTCAAAAAAAAGGAGAAAAAAGAAAAAAAAAGCAAACAGTGCCTTGCATTGTAACAATGCAAGACACTGCTCACCATCACCTATACACAGCGGGCATCAGCCGGCACACTGAAACACTGAAATGGCTAGTTTTAGCATGTGGACTGATTTCAACAAGCTCTTGAAAGAAAACGTATACAGCCACCACATCTAGGGACTGGTAAGGCTGAAATATGTTACATTTTGTTTTTTGGGTTTAGATAAATCTTTTTAGTTACTCATAAAAAAAAAAAAAAAAAAAAAAAAAAAAAAAAAAAGATTTGTAATTCCTTTGTCGATGAACTGCAATAATAAAAAATATCTGTGACTTACATTCCTCTTCAAGCTTAAAAGGAAACTATGATGGGTTTGAGTCAGTTTTATTTTACTTTTTTATTTATAACATATACACACACACACTGGATAGAGAGAAAACAATTGGCACACGCACCACGAGCCAACAGTCTGCCCCTACTTTTGGCCATGATAGCAGGAGAATGACATCTCTAGGGACTAAAACGGTGTATTGACCACAAAGAACGTGACTTATCTTAAAAATATCCCATCACCCAGATGGGCATATATATATAAAAAGGGGAGTGAGTCAAGGGGGATTAATATTTAAAAACTAGATGAGAGATTGGATGTCCAACCCCTCATTTAGCCCTCTGGGCGATAGTGTGACCAAGCGGTGGATCCAGAAGGTTTCCCTCTGGCATAGACGGCAGAAACGTCTGCCTGTGTCTATGTCCTTAGGTATGCTGTCCAAACCAAACACCCTAAGACCCATAGGGCTCTTGTCGTGTCTTTCTTTGAAGTGGTTTGGGATGGAGTGTTTATCACGACCATGTTTGATGTTCCTTTTGTGTTCCCCAAATCTTGTACGCAAAGTGCGGATGGTACGACCCACATATAATAGACCGCAGGGGCAAATGAGACAGTACACCACATATTGTGTGCTACAGTTGATGAACTGCCTAATGCTGTATGTGTTGCCATCATGCCCCATGACCTCTTTTTTCTTGTGCCACATGTACTTACAACAGCCACAGTTGCTGCCCCCACATTTGTAACTACCTTTTTGGTCAAAAAGTCTGTTCCAAGGGGACCCCATTGAATTTTGAATTTTTTTGACTCTGTTGGTGGCTATGTAACTCCTATAATCTAGCCCTAGTTATTTACTACTTAACCTCCATACAGGTTGGTCATCAGCTCTGAGGAAAGGGATTCGTCCCCGAAACGCGTCAGACGCCCCACTGACAGTGAGAACACCTTGCCTGCCTGCCATTGTGGTCATTATCATTTTTCTATGCTTTTTAGATACATGCTTCGTCTGTGAGTATGTTTTTATTATTCTTTCACTCCTACAATAAACCTTGGATAATGCACTAGGTGTGTGCGCCACCTGTTTTCTCTCTATCCAGTGGCTGATTTCCCTGTCTGAGGAGGGCTGCACCCCTGGAACATTTCCTTTGGTTGTCGCTGTCCTGGTACCCTTGGCTTCCCTTTTGGCTGTGCATATCCTGAGGTGCTGGAGAGTACATACGATATCATATACATACACACACGAACATTTTGTGTGTGCGATACCAGAGGGTACGATTTTCGTTTAACCAGTACAGTATCCGTCCAAAAATACAATACATTACAAATAAATTACATTCTTCAAAATTTTTATTCTGTCGTTAAAGAGTTGTCGTAACTTTAGTAACCTCTTCACTTTTGATATGAGACTAGCATGCAGAAAAAAAATGGAGGATCATTCGTCCGATATTCCAAAACGTGTATACGAGGCACTAAGATAGTTTGTCTGATTGAAACATCACACTAAGGCCACCTTTTATAGCTACCAGCTCCCTGCTAGAAATCACAGTAGGTACGCCACACTGCATTTTGCATTTTTTGAGCCATTCAGTAAAATACAGTCCTACATAACACTACAGAGAACATTCTATGATTGAGACTGGTCACAGGGGCTTTGTCAAGTCACATGATCTAGTCTCACCTTCTCCATACTTTTGTTTTCTCTCCCAAGTCGCTGTGCCTAATAAAGCATCTTTTTTTAAAGCATTGGTATTGCTGTAGCAATAGTTCAAGAAGAAAGTACCTGAGGTGGTCATGAGTGCAGGCTTCCGCAAAGATATTTCGTAAACAGGCAAAGTCGCTCTGCGTGAAGGTCTGCGGCTGTAACGCCTCTATGCGGCTGAAGAACCCAAGTGACAGTGGGGTCAGCGGATTAGGGCTCGACGTGGCCTCTGTCGGTGGCAGGGGGTCTATATGAAGTACGGAGATGGATAACGAGCCTACGGCCAGTCTGAACACAAGCTCTGGTCTAGATTCATCCACAGAGGCTGAACGGGCTGGCAGTGCTGCAATAGAGTCCAGCTGTAGTTTTATTCATTTAACAGAACAGGTTCAAGTAAAAAAAAAAAAAGATACTTCCATTTTTATAGGGTAACTTTCAGACAACAGAAAAAAAATGCACAATACAATATATTCATAAATGTGTTTTAATGAAGCCGCAGAAAGACAAACTTGATTAAACATCAGTGACTGTTCTGTATTATCTGCAGCTTTGGACCTGTCCCTGAAATAAATATAATAGCAGCCATTCCAATCTGTTTTTCAAATATGTCACCAAATTACTGATAAAACCTGTCCAGAAACCCCAGAAGTGGCACTGTTATCAACTATACCTGGACCAATTGCAAATATTAAAAGGAACTATTTTGTTTTCTAAGATTGGCTGGCCACGCATTGATTCCCAAGCACTGGCAAAAGGACTACTGTCCGTATAATTAGGGAGTGGGTGGCAGAGCTTACAGTGATACTAAACCCAGGACCATTCACTATATCTGGTCTCCCACAGTACACACAACATGGAAATGCAATTATTTTAGTAAATATAAACTGCTAATATAAAATGCTAAATATCTTTTCTCATCATCAGTTAGAGCAGTCTTATGACTTCTGTAAGTGTCCAGCAGAGCACTGGTTAAAGCTTGTAGGAGGAGTTTTTTTTCTGCTCTAGGAGGATGTGAAACCTCTGACTCTTTGTCTAGACAGTGCTGATTGGCCCTGTGCTGATCACATGCACCCTCCCAAGATTAAAAAAAAAAAAAACCTCTCTAGAAATACACACCAAACTAAGCATGTGACTAAGGGTTCAGTCTGTATCACATGGTCATTTCAAGAAGAGGAGGATCAGAGAAGACAGGATCAAATAGCCTTTTTACACAATGCAGAGGATTAACCCCTTCAGTTCCACAGTGAGTAGAACAGGCATGCTTTACTGCATATACAGAATTGATTTTACTGTTGTGGGTTTAGTAACACTTTAACAACATTATAAGGCTAAAAGAGCTAATAGTCTGCCTTTACGAGAGCTATCCGAAGTTTCTGGAACTCTGGTACAGCTGGATTGACTTCTTGAATTCTGCTAAACTACTACCCTTCCTTTAATGTGTAATTAAACCCAAATCAGTAAAAAACTATGAATAAATGCTGTATTACATGCTGTTCATATTCAGTCACTATGGGATTCCTTTTCTGTTCTGTCTTCTGCATAAAAAAAAAAAAACCAAAAACGAAAAAAAAAAAACAGAAAAAAAAAAAACCTGGTTGATCCTCCTGTTCTCTGTCTCCTCCTCCTGTCCATGTCCCCACTGCAGTTAGGGATTTTGCAGAGCAGTGTTGGCAGCTAGTGCACATGCTCAGTTTTCAGTGTATTTTCTACCCTGAGCATATTCTCCCTATCACATCTGAAGCAGCCGATATGACTACAGAGTCACACATTTGAGCATATACACAGTAGTAAAATATAGCCCACTCAATCCCTCCTCTTCCATGTCCACTAACCAGCTAAACATAATGGGGGTTGGATATCACATCCTGACAATGGTGGCTTCACCTCCCTATTATTCTAAGGTCTAGTCCAACTGGCATTGAAAGCAGGCATCTGATGGGGCATTTGTAACACTTCTCAAATACCTATGAAAATGATAATATGGACAGCATACAGTACTGTTCACATTATCAAAACACTAAGCGTTAGTGTCACTTTTCTTCTAAATTGAAGCCTCATGTCGAGTCTGAAAGAGTATGAAGCCTTTCAACGCCTCCCATTCAAGTCTATGGTAACACTCAGCAAATGGGCTGGCAGGCATTTGTAGCATGATTGTGATGTGTTAACAAGATTACCGATTATAGGCATTTGTGGTGCGGTTTTAACATGCGGCAAAGATGCATATAGGGCTCTTTGGGGAGGGGAGCATTTTTAACTTGAGTCAAACTCACCTAATAACACGCATTAACGCTATATGTGTGCTTGTGCGTTTTGAGTCAAGCGTGAGCAAGCCCTAAGACACAGGCTGGAGGGGCATGACACAGGCTGTGACTGGCAGAAAACTGCCCATACAATGTTACTGCCAAGAAATAAAGATTTTATTTCTATACAAATCTATACTTGTCTGACAATTTAAAACAGTTTATTAATATTATCTATTTATTTTTACTCTGTATCCCAAAGGCTGTTTTTTTTTTTTTTTTTCATTTTGAATATGTGACCAGCAGTCAGGGGCTGACTGACCATTTGGAAACTCGGGCACTGCCCGAGGGCCTGGGGTCAGTAGGGGGCCCCATGAGATGCCCCTGGTACCTTTTTCATAGGCAAAGACACAGGGGCCCCATGATTCCCTATTGCCCGGGGGCCCCATGAGTTGTCAGTCCGCCCCTGCCAGCAGTAGAGGACCAGAAGCTCCTGCCACTGTTTCCCTGCAAACAAGCTGGGAAAGAGCTGGGTCATGTGACAGCTGTATATCAATTAGGAAAGAAGGTACTTAGATATTTTATTACAAAATAGTTACAGAGCCATCATCCCCATACAGAAAAAGAAAGGATAATATAAAATTATACAGTGTGGTTAGTATCACTTTAACCATTAATTAGGCCTTTCAATTGCCAGTGCTGTTAGCTTGATCAACCTGTACCTCCCCACCCCCCTCCCAGGTCATGTGCCCCCCTCTCCCCCTTCTCTCATTTTTTTCTCTATTTCTTCTCTTCCCACGCTACCTCCTTTTTGTGTAGCTTTCCATTTTTACTCAATGCAGGTAATAGTGACCTATTAGTACAAGGCCCTCATGACAGACCCAATCAGGACAGGGGCATTTGGAAGGGACTGCAGGCTAACCTCTTGCTTATTTGTATCAGGTGGGCTGGAGATTAGCTAGCACCACATCCCATATTGCGAAAATCCAACATTGTAGAAGAAAAAAGAGATTTTTAAGCTGCTCAACAGACTTCACACATTTAATATATACTAAAATCAATACAAAGTTTTATTCCATATTATCATAGAAAAAAAAAAACGACATCACATTAGTAGTCTTGAAAGATATAAAAGCAACATAATACTTCATATGGCTTGAAGTTCACCATGCAACAATTCCAACTCGACATGGTTCGGCCTCGGCGGGTTAACCCCATAAAAACCTATATTTAGAAGGTATTGTCATTAACTTTGTATGTATTGCATTGCTGACCATCACTTTTTTGAAATTTTGTAAAATTTAAATTGCTTATTGTTTGTATTTTAGTGGCAATTATATGCAACTATCTGTATACTCCTGAAGAAGCCACAAATTTGGCGAAACATGTCGAGTTGGAATTGTTGCATGGTGAACTTCAAGTCATATGAAGTATCATTTTGGTTTAATATCTTTCAAGACTACTAATGTGATTTTTTTTTTTTTTTTTATAATATGGAATAAAGCTTTGTATTGATTTTAGTATATATTAAATGTGTGAAGTCTGTTGAGCACCTTAAAAATCCCTTCTTACACAAATGTTGGATAACCTCTTGCTTACTGAGCATAGTCCCTGGCATCTGATGGGGCTCTATTCTTTGGGAGGTATGTGCCTGGGGGACCTTTTGGAGTAGCTTTGCTTCAGAATCAAGTCCAGGTCTACCCAAAACACACAGACTCTGAGAACTGGAGGACCAGGATACCGATTTGGGGTCTCTGTGCCCAAACAAGCATTGACTTCTTCAATCCTCATCCTAGACTCAGAGCAGATGTTAATATAAACAGCTCAAAACAACTTGATGCTGAGGTCTCTTGCTGTAATCTGTTTATTAAGGTGTGACGTGTTTACTGTTCTGTGTATGTCCCATTGTTAATTGAGGTAATTGAGTCACCTATTATTCCTGTCTGTTGGCTGGTCCTCCTGGAGGTTCCTACATGATAGGATTAGTCTTCTGTCAACTTTACCTAATCAATGTGAGATGTTTATCTCAATGTGTAATATTTGTTTTTTATTGTTTATGTGGGGCTGCCCCATATTTGAAGTGTAAAAAAACCTGTATTTGTGTTCAATACAGAAGTTCCAGTTGCATCTAAGCTAGTGTCGTCTAGTTCTTGGGTGCAATACCCAGCTATAATACATTATTCCTGTGTCCCAATGGTGAGGAAGCCGTTCTCCAATGGAAGCACCCAGGCGGGTGTCAGAGGGCCCATCACAGCCCTTGAATTGTCTTGGTCCTTCGTCCGGACTCTGTACTGTTCCACCATAACTTCACTATATTTCACCCCTGGACTGAGGTTATCAGGAGGTATGGAGATTCGACACTCTTAATACTTTAGAGTTTCTGAAACTGGGTTTTCTGAAGGCTGACACTTCTCTATCATGTATTTTTTTGCTATATCTGCCTCTTCTGTAACATATATTGATGCTGTTTGATTAGGAGTACCGATGAGCCACAATAAAACAAACTTTAAAAGGAAAAAAAAAAAAAAAAAAAAAAAAAAAAAAAAAAGCACCCATTCCAGGCTACGGTGTTATTTATCACTAGAAGAACTTGGTGATATCTTTAGTGAAATCCAGAATTTCATTAGTGAATAATAACTTACAGGTTCGTCTATGAGTGTTTTGGTTTATGCTCGGCTTGTACGAGGTCCCTCGCAGGAGCGGCTCCTCCATCCTCAGATGTTCCTGATAGTCACTCCATGTCGCCTGTAAATACACAAAGATATCATTCGTACATAACGCAGCTGACATTTTCTTGACTAATTAGAAAGTAGGCAATTGCTTAAAGGATCAGTCAGCCTATAACGGATATATCCATTGTTGGTAGATGCTGGAGAGTTAAACCATTTGGCAGTTTAACTATGTGAGTCTATTGGTGAGATCTCAGTTCTCAGGTGTGCACAACTGCTGTACCCACTAAGAGGGGATTTCACAGTCTCTGCATTTTTTATTTTTTTATTGTAGAAAATGTAACAAGAGGAGCTGGAACACTCAAAAGGTGGGCAGAAAAGTCAAGTGAGACAGGAACAAAGATGTGAATTATGGCAGGGAGATCTCCAAAACCTTCCTCTGATTGGCTGAGATGGAGCGGCAGGTGATGTCACGTTCAGAGGAAGCTTTGTATTTATTCATAAACTACAAGCCTTCCAGTGAATGGCTAAGCAGCACCCGGCCCGACTCGATTTTGTTCTGGGATGGGGTTGTGAAGTTCTTTTCCCACTGCCGGAACACAGCACTGTATACTGTATGTAGCTGATGCTGCATAAAGTTTAAATGGCATGGCCAGCAGGTATATGAGATCGTAAAGGAAATTGTTTGGGCCAGCATGGGACAAATGAACTATTTAAAGTCATACTAACCATGGAATTAAGCTTTAAAGTAAAAACCTCTGTTTTAAACACAAATTGTTAGAATCGTTAAGACTTTGTTTTCGAGCTGACTAGCTGGCGAGCTTTTCGAATTACAGTATTCAGTTGTAGATATTGTAATATAAAACAAGCAACAAAAAAGAAAAAAAGGTGCACAAAAAAAAAAAAAAAACACATGCAAAAAAAAAGGTATACAAAAACAAAACATTTCTACATTTGTACAATCTTAAACAATATGAAATAATCCAGGTGATCAAAAAAAAAAAAAAAAACTATCGGTTGGTGTCTCTTTCCCTTCTGTGTGCTGTTTACATTCCGATCCAAACAGGGACCAATATCAAACCACCAACATGACAATGGTGTATGTTGGTGTATGCAAAAAGAAGCCATACGTACTGCAGCACCTCCAAGGGGGGAGCCAACTGGAGAACTGGTGTAAGTGCTACTCAGCGACAAATCTAAATCCACTGTTGGTGGATCACCAAGTGGGGGGAGAGAAGAAAGGCTGTGAGACATGTCCATATCCGCCATTGAGAAGAATACTTCTTCATCTAAACAGGGAAAAAAAAAAAAAAAAAAAAAAAAAAAAAAAAAGGTAAACCATGGAAGATAAAATCAGCACAAACTCAGCTTTTCATTTGCTCACTTATTTGCCTTTAGTTTCTTTGGATCAGAGGTTTGATTGTCCTGAAGTCAGAAAGTTGTTGCATAACCTCATACACTGTCTAACAGGTCTTAAAGTTAAATTAAATTAAAATAGACAGATTATACTTACCTGTACAGAGCTGCTTCAATCCTCCTCGTCTCAGGTCCCCCCCACCGGTAGTCCTGGCTCCCACCCCCCAGTCACCCCATGAAGAGTTGCTTTCTATGGGAGCACCCATGCAGGCTGGCTCCTGAGCCTCCTTGCCTGCGTCTATTGACACAGACAGTGGGACTCGGCCCCACTCTCTCATCACTGGATTTGATTGACGGGAGCCAATGGCTCTCGTTGCTATCAATCTACCCAGTGAGGATGGACAGAGCCAGGAGAACTGCAGCTCTTGTGCACAGTGCTGGATCGACATGGGCTCAGGCAAGCATGGGGGGGGGGGGGGGTGAGGAGGGAGTCTGTGAAACAGAAGGTTTTTTACCTTAATGCATAAAATGCATTAAGGTATATATAAAAAAAAAAAAAAAAAAAAAACCTTGAAGCTTAAGAACCACTTTAAATGTGCATGACAGCAAACTCAGACAATCCTTCAAACCTTTCCAAAATCTAGGCGCTTGCATCAAAATATTACAGTAGGGGTCAGAAACATTGTGTCTTTGATGCAACATATGCGATGTTCACCTCCCACAGCAGTCTTATATGCAATCCTCTTCAATTATATAAAATGTTCTTAACCTTTCCGCCCCACCTTCTTTCAAAGCAGCTAAATATACAGTTCTACGCTCCTTCCCCCTAATGCTTTTGGCTGCAGTTGGGATTTCAGTAACCTACAGCAACCACGGACATATTCCATCACCTTGTATAAGCCAAAACAATTAAAGATGACTGGCTCCAATGGGTTACTGTGACCTGCCAATTGCTTTAAATGATTATTACATAAAGGTGCCTTAGGCGGCACAGAGTGGTCCTCACCATGGCTGGAAGGTGTTTTTGCTGTGTCAGTCTCATAGAAGCTGTGCTCAGCGGACGGTCCTCCAGACATGGCTTCTTTTTTTAAATAGCGTTTGAGTTCCATTTGAAGGCGAAGCTCATCTTCTTGTTGCATGGGGCGGCTCTTCCGATCTTTGCTGGACATTCCTATCCGACTGGAGGATTCTGCAAAAGTTTATATTTTTTTTTATTATTAACATGTTAAACTGCTATAACCACTTATTGAATAACTGACTAAAGCTCAACTCCGGGATATTGGCAACCCTACCTCCCTCCGCACTAACCACTGATATAAAAAAAATAAGCAAACAAAAACTATCCCAATGCCCATTTTACTTATCTCAAGACACAGTCAGATGATCCTGCTCTCTTCTTTGGTATACCTCCAGAGGTCCTTCTTCAGGTGTCCACATCACTGCCTGCATGATGTGCACACCATCTATTAGTAAAGGGACACTTCCAGGAGCCAGGTCAACTCTCATATGCTCCAGAGGAAAGAGAATTCATGGGGTGGTGAAGAGACCAGTGCCCAAGAAGAGAATTTGCAGGGAAAAAAGGTCTGGTCCTAAGGGCAGGGCATGATCTTTGCTCATAGAGGAAACTGACTTTGATCCATTATACTGCAGGATGGCTTAGAAGAGGTGTTTGGAATAAAGACTGAGGAGTAAAGCAACTGATGCTCAATGCATTATTTGAAGGATAAGTTCACCTTTTAACATAAAATAATAAACGCACATTTTTTGCAGGTAAAAAAATGTGCACTTACAGTTTCTTGTTTTAGGAGCTTGGAAAGCATTGCACCGGCGATCAGTAGATCGTTGGTGCCATGCAGGCCTCCTGCACACGGTCAGTGTAATCTGTCCGTACATCGTATTCGCAAAAGCAAAAAAAAAAAAAAAAAAAGGCACCTGCGATTAAATTTTAGCTGATGAAACTGGCAGAAGATGTTTGGGGAACATTTTTTATTCACATCAAGCGCAACAAGCATTAACGCTGTAGGCGCATTTGTTAAGCAGCAGTATAGCGAGCAAGTATGAACAAGGCCTTACTGCAGCATGCTTGATCAAGAAGATACCCCAACCTGCTGTCTGGAGCAAAAGCAAACTGAGCAGGTCATTCCTCTACTCACTCACTCCACCTGTCAGTATCAGGAATCACACCTAATTGGCCCCTAACCTTGGCTTTTCTCTCTCCCAGTCTGAATGTTGCTATTTATTCAAGGATGATGTCCTCAAGACACATTCTTATATTTATACCAACTGCATTTAAAAAATACATTTTTTTTTTAAATAACCTACTAGACTGTGTTTTTGTATACATAGGGTTCACCCTTATTCTGATTACTTTCATGGGCTCACAAGAACAAAATGACCGTGCCAAAATTTCCTTTTAAAAAAAAATAATACACAAACAAAATGATACACATATGAAGCATTTTATCCACAGTTCCATTTAGAAAATGTAAATGCCCCCCGCCAATAACAAAGTATAAGAGGATTAGAGAATAAAAAAATGGAACAGATGTCCTTTAGATGTCATCTAAAGGACAGAGTAGGGATAACAACATCAATATACAAAAGATTTATAGAACACTTGAAGTATGTCTCTGGTCTATCGCTATTTCTTTAGATATATGTGCAAAGGTACCCAGCTCAGTGTAAATATTATCAACTTATTCTTTTTCAATTATTTTTATTCATTTTTCAAACACGGTAAAAAGGAGGACATTTGTACAATTAAACGTGAACATATATTCCTATGTCATTTGGGAGACAAGAATCAACATATAGTGCATATTGCAAGTCACAGTAGGTGGTAAATCAAAGCAGATGCACTGAATGGATAAGGACAATACTTGAAATCACACTTCCGCATATGAAAACAGATGTTCCTTAACGCACGAAATAAAGTAGCAAGCAAATCCGAGAAATAACTAAAAGAAGAATAAAGGAAAGAGGAGAATCAAGTAGGATATAGATGGGGAAAAAGGGAATTTGAAGGCCGAAGGTGTTTTGCAACCCACTACGCCGGACCCTATTCTAATCTCCAGTAAATAATGTATCTGTGGATCTCATGTTTTTTTAAATAAATGTATTTTGTCATTCAGAATTGCTGTTAACTTCTCATTTACCATAATACACAACAATTTTGCTTTGACCGAGTCGAAGGAGATGGTGGGCGATTTCCAAGGACTAGCTACAGTTATCCTGACTGCTAAGAAAATGATGGTGATCGTCCTTTAATTATGGCTCGGTGCCTCCTCAACTGGTTGATTAAGAAGGGCTTGCCAAGGGCATTTTTTTTCTGTGTGACAGAATAAAGCTGTAAACTCTAATCCAAAATTTTATGGCTTTTGGACATGTCCACCAAATGTGTGGTGTGGTCCCCTCTTGTCCGCACCCTCTAAAACAATTTAGGGAGGCCCCCTGAGACATACAAGAGTACATGCAACATACCCTCAAGGGGAGGCCGCCCCTAGAGTACCATATACCAATGTAATAAGATTTTGTAATTCGCCTCTATAATACAGATGTTTATAAAAAGGACTTTGAGGGCCAGTTCACACCACAAAAACGCACTCCAGATGCATTTTAGATACGTTTTTGCTTACAGTTCACACCACACTCTGTTCTGGTGCACTTTTGATGCAGTTTGCTATGTTCCAGTACAGTTCTGTGCAGGAAAAAAAAAAAATACAGCATGTTCTATTTTTTTTTTTTCTGCACCGGAAACTGGCTGGAACTGACTGTACTGGTGTGAACTAGAGCCACTGGAATACATGGAAAACACAGTGTATGCATTTTTGATGCAGAAAAAAAAAAAAAAACGCACTGAACTGCAAGTAGTGTGAACTACCCTAAGGCTAAGAGAGCTAATTTATGCCATTCAGCAAGGTCCAGTTCCTCAGATAAGTCCCCTTTCCATATAGAAGGTAACTTAGCAGATGTAGATGTAAGAAGACCATATATAGCCAAAATATGCCATGGGATCTTATCAATGTTTTTACATAAACATTCCATTGCAGTCATTGTGGCAAAATCAGTGTGCCATACCAGAGGTTTTAAAAAGTGACAGATCTGGGCATATCAAAGGTGTTCTGAGGGCGGCATATGACATTCATCTTGGAGAATCTATCTCAATAGGATACCCCGTGAACTGCAAAAGTTGGCTATGCGGTGTAGACCATTATTAGTCCACCAATGAAAGTGTTGTTGGGAGAGACCTAGGGAGAAGGCCACATTGTTAAGGATAGAAACCAATGAAAAATGGGGCGGATTTAAATCCACAAGTAAAACTTAGGTAGTCCCATAAACTGAAAGGGAATGATAGGGATGGACACATGATAGGGGGCCTGTATTTTGTTGGTAACCAGAGGAGATGGCCTATCCAAACTAATCAACCCATTAATGGTTTACAGCAACTCTGACACTTGAAAAAAAAAAAAAAAAAAAAAAAAAAAGGCTATTAAAGAAGACTCATAAAAAGGGCAACTTCCCTTTCATAAAAATGAAAATACAGCAAATAAAAAAGATATCATATAAATTTGCTATACATATTTAACATTAAATGTTAATAAAAATGACCTTTCCTTTTCAGTCTGCAAACGTAGTAATTTTCTGTAAAATTCAATGCAATATGGCTACCTGGAGTTGTTCGGTACACTTTTGATTTACAGGACACCCCCAGAGTGTTTCAAAAGTAAAGAGGCTCACCAATCTGTGAAAAGCTGCATCTAAAAACTCTTGTTGCTTCACAGCCCTTTTTTTCTCTCAATCTCCCAGTTTGGCCCACCCACCTATGCTCACTGTGGACTACACGCATTTCAAAAGATTTCCATTCACTGTCTGGTGTACAGCAAAGGATCGGGGTCCGCCTGTCTGTTTTTCAGGCAGATCCGATCGGTCCATCCACAGACTTCAATGGACCGGCGGGTGTCAGCAGACAATAGTCTGCTGCCACCTTCCAGCATCCGATCCAATATGCCAAAAACAGACAGATGGGGATCTGTTCCCCATCAGTCCAGCGGATCGGATGACAATCAGGTGGAAACAGACAGGCGGTCCATTTCCATCCGTCCCATTGAAATCAGCGGGCAGTATCTGTTGCTTAATGGGGATCAGCCAAGAGATCCCCCGCTGACTGATCTGCTGCATCTTTAAGGGGCCTAATTGTTCTATAAATGAATTTCCCCTTTCAGTTCGCTAGCAGCAGATCTTCATCACAGATTGTAGCACTATTTCACTAGAGGACAGCCCTTTACTGCACATGTGCATGATTGAGGAAAAGTGATTAGTGGTCTAGAACCTTATCGTTAGTTACTTTAGTATAATTATTGCTCTGTCTAGCAGACTGTGTCCGAATTTACCTGCTGTGTATGAATTTATGTTCAATCTGCCATTTATTCTACCCCAATATTAATAGATTAGGTGCATTTACCACTAAACAGGTGTGTCTACTTTCTGGTAGTAACCCACAGCCAGGTAAAGGTATTTATACTTGTGTCTTTATATGTGTTTGCAGTGACTTTTATTCACAGAGGGAGTCAGAGGGGCTGAGCTTGTTCTTGGAACTGAGGGGCAAAACAGAGAACCCCAAATTGCCAAGTGGCTCCTTTGGGTGTAGCGCTACATATATACATTAAAAAAAACAAGCTGTTCAAACTAAAACAACTCTGGTAACTATGGCACAAAATATCCCAGGTCAAGAGAGAGGGTTAAAAGGATAATACCTGAGCTCTAAACTAACTTTGATTGTAAAAAAAAAAAAAAAAAAAAAAAAAAAAAAAAAAAAAGTGTTGGTGTTGCCTACTGCATCCAGACAATCCATATAATTTCCAACCCTGTGTAAATTAGAAAGTGCCACAAATTGACTGGTTGCTATGAGTAACTCCACCAGACAACTTGATAAATGATTTTAAATGCTGATAACTAAGAAGACTTTGTCACCTGGTCCAGCAATGGCAGACAACATATCCAGCAAGAGGTGAACTTGTCGAGGCGAGAGGAAGATATGGAAAGAATCGACACGTCCATCCACATCCAGCTAAATAAAACAAAACAGCAGAAGTTAATAATAGCACAAATCACTTACAAATCAATTCCTGACTTTCAGCTGAACACAGCAGCACTTTAAAGATGCGACAGTCTGTCGGACAATTGGTTCTGTATTTTACATCTACCTATACGATCTTAAGTCCCCGGTCACACTGGATGTGAATTGGCATGTGAATTGCATGCCATGCGACTTGCAAACTGCATGCCAAATTGCAGCCTACTGTCCGCAATTAGAGCGGTCATATCGGTGCGGTTCCGACTTGGTCGGAGCCGCATCGATTTCTAAAGTAGAACATGCACTACTTTTGGTGCGATTTGCATAGACATCTGTATCAGATATCTTGCAAATCGCACCTGAAATCGACATGTCATCAAACTTTGAAATCATGCAACTTCACTGTAAGTCATACGATTTCAAAGTAGGATTTGATGTGAACGGGGTGTAAGGTGTCATGAAAATAAAATAAAAAAAAAAAAACCCCACACACATTAAGTACATCTGTGCAAGCTGTGTGTGCGCAAACAAAGGCCTCGTTCACACAGGCATACTACAGCATACACCCATTTACCTGCACAGAGATGTACAAGTGTTCTGTGCATCACCTTGCAGGCAGTCCCATTCATGTCAACTGGGACTCAGTGGCTGCATAGACAAAGCCGCCGCACAGACAAAGCCGCTGCACAGAATTTGAGATCAATGCGGGTGCATGACAGTGGGGGTTATTTACTAAAGCTGGGAAGTGTAAAATCTGGTGCAGCTCTGCAAAGAAACTAATCGGCTTTCAGGTTTTATTGACAAAGCTTAATTGAACAAGCTGAAGTTAGAAGCTGATTGGCTCCCATGCACAGCTGCAGCAGATTCTGAGCGTACTAGTTTTAATAAATCTCCACGCCCCCCCCCCCCCCCGTGTGCGTTTAGAGCCATGCACCCACACAGATGTCAGATGGGGAGCAGTGGCTGCGTCTGTGCAAGTCCTGCATCCCAACTGGTAACCAACCCCCAACTCTGGTAGTCTAAAAAGCCCTAGATCCATGACCAAATATCACAAGCCAACAAACCATGATCTGCAATGGACCACTTATGATAAGTTAAGTAGTGAAAGCAGATATACAGAACATGAACTGACCTTTGCTCCAGGAAGCACTTCATTCTGTTTCAGAATTAGGCCCAGCTCAATACTGCCCACCAGGGAAGCAATCTGCACAGGGTCAGAGGGGGTGACCTCAGTTATACTTCTAGTGAATTGTGGGTGAGGCTCAAAGACAGGCTTTGGATTCCAGCTGGGAGAAAGCTTGGGCTCAGTTTCCTGGAAAAAAAAAAAATTGAACGCAAAACAAATCACAAAATTTACAGAGCCTGGAAAATGCATGGTCATAGCGGAGCCGAGGTTGTGTTTAGCCCCTTCACGCCTAAGGGTAAAACAAATGTTAACGCCTAAGCACAATTTTGCAACGCTGAAATGTGTTCGTAAATCCGTACATATCATCACCACTACTTTATACATCTAGGTGAATTATACCGTATTTTTTTCAGGACAAATTGGGCTTTCATTTGGTGGTAAATGGTAATGGATATCTCCTGACTTTTTTTTTTATTATCAAAGGAAAACTGGACCAAAATAGTAAAAAAAAATAATAATTTTTTTTTAAATTTAGCTGTGTGTTTCTGGTTACTACCATAACCTACCACCAAAGAACAACTCAAAATAAATTTTCCAGCTCTTGACGATCACAGCGATACTATATATATGTGTATGTTATTTGTTGTTTGTACCCGTAATACAGCCCAGAAACAAATAGTGCACATTTTGTTTTTTGTTTACCTAAAACACACTGACACTAATATAAATTTTTTTTTTTAAATCCTGACCTTTGACCCTGACCCAAACACATACCCTGGCACTGAACTAGATCAAACCTTAATCTAGGTATTTTTTCATTATTATTTTATTTTAATTTGTAATATTTAAATTTATATATTTTTTTTTTTTACATTTTTTTTCATCTCTATGCCAGGAGTTAGAGAAATACAATGTAACCCTCTCCTCCATTCATAAAGAAGAAAAAATAACAAAACAAGGGGCCTGGCTGTACAGTGACTGCTCAGAGAATATCACAGCAATCATGTGACCCGGAATCGGGAGTCCCGGGTCCCGATCGTTAGAATGGGACCTGGGGCTCTCAGTGTCACCCTGGTCTTTGTGCTGGGAGCGGGCTGTGCGGCACGCTCCCAGCACAAAGACAGGTACGCAAATATGCGGCCCCACGGAAAAAATACCAGTTCTGTGAGGCTGCGTATTTGAGTGATGTTGGCGTCAAGGGGTTAAGGAAAATTAACAACTAGATTTGTGACCAACAAATCCAACATTTGTTGTCACCAGAACAGGAATAGAGGGGAAACATTTTCAAAAGGGACACTTGTTCTGGTGATAGATGTGATCTACCCTCACTTTGAAGAGATTTCCTGTAACTTTTTGTTGTGTATGGGACAGAAAATGAAAGGAAACCTTTGAAATGGTGTCAAGAGACAGATAGAAAAATCCTGATAAAATGTAACTTTTCATAATTCGATAAAAACTAAAAAAAAAAAAAAAAATTATATAATAATAAATATATATATATATATATATATATATATATATATATATATATATATATATATATATATATATATATATATATATATTTGGAAGTTTTTTGTTAATAGAGTGGTGATAGGGTTAAAACCCCATGTCAGGTTTTTGATGCTGTCCTTACTAGGGAGATTCCCCATCTTTACTTGTCCTGGTGACCACTGTCATTGGGACTGAAAGTGTAGGGAAAAAACATTTTGCAGAGATCGCCTGTGGTGTCTATAGGACAGGAAGTGAAGGAAGATCTCTCAATATGTATGCCTAAAAACCTGACATGGGGTCTACCCATTCCTTACTCTATTTAAAAAAAAAAAAAAAAAAAAAAAAATGGGTTTAGGTATATTGTAAATCTAATTCCAGGATAAGAAAATATTATCTACCGTATTTTCCGGCGTATAAGACGACCCCCTACTTTTCCTGTTAAAATATAGGGTTTGAGCTATACTCGCCGTATAAGACTACCCCGATTCCAACGCACACCAAATAAAAATGAAAAAACATCAGATTTGATTTCAATATGGTACGGTATTTCAGTATGGTATTCCAATGATGGGGTGCTATTCCTCCCACTGACACCAATGATGGGGCACTATTCCTCCCACTGACACCAATGATGGGGCACTATTCCTCTCACTGACACCAATGATGGGGCACTATTCCTCCCACTGATACCAATGATGGGACACTATTCCTCCCACTGATACCAATGATGGGACACTATTCCTCCCACTGATACCAATGATGGGACACTATTCCTCCCACTGATACCAATGATGGGACACTATTCCTCCCACTGATACCAATGATGGGACACTATTCCTCCCACTGATACCAATGATGGGACACTATTCCTCCCACTGATACCAATGATGGGACACTATTCCTCCCACTGATACCAATGATGGGACACTATTCCTCCCACTGATACCAATGATGGGACACTATTCCTCCCACTGATACCAATGATGGGACACTATTCCTCCCACTGACACCAATGATGGTACCCCATCGTTGGTGTCAGTGGGAAGAATCGTGCCCCATCGTTGGTGTCAGTGGGAAGAATCGTGCCCCATCGTTGGTGTCAGTGGGGAGGACGGAATAGTGCTCCCATCGTTGGTGTCAGTGGGGAGGAGGAATAGTGCCCCATCGTTGGTGTCAGTGGGGAGGAGGAATAGTGCCCCATCGTGGTGTCACCAAGGAGGAATAGTGCCCCATCGTTGGTGTCAGTGGGGAGGAGGAATAGTGCCCCATCGTTGGTGTCAGTGGGGAGGAGGAATAGTGCCCCATCGTTGGTGTCAGTGGGGAGGAGGAATAGTGCCCCATCGTTGGTGTCAGTGGGGAGGAGGAATAGTGCCCATCGTTGGTGTCAGTGGGGAGGATGGAGGAATAGTGCCCCATCGTTGGTGTCAGTGGGGAGGAGGAATAGTGCCCCATCGTTGGTGTCAGTGGGGAGGAGGAAATAGTGCCCATCGTTGGTGTCAGTGGGGAGGAGGAATAGTGCCCCATCGTTGGTGTCAGTGGGGAGGAGGAATAGTGCCCCATCGTTGGTGTCAGTGGGGAGGAGGAATAGTGCCCCATCGTTGGTGTCAGTGGGGAGGAGGAAATAGTGCCCCATCGTTGGTGTCAGTGGGGAGGAGGAATAGTGCCCCATCGTTGGTGTCAGTGGGGAGGAGGAATAGTGCCCCATCGTTGGTGTCAGTGGGGAGGAGGAATAGTGCCCCATCGTTGGTGTCAGTGGGGAGGAGGAATAGTGCCCCATCGTTGGTGTCAGTGGGGAGGAGGAATAGTGCCCCATCGTTGGTGTCAGTGGGGAGGAGGAATAGTGCCCCATCGTTGGTGTCAGTGGGGAGGAGGAATAGTGCCCCATCGTTGGTGTCAGTGGGGAGGAGGAATAGTGCCCCATCGTTGGTGTCAGTGGGGAGGAGGAATAGTGCCCCATCGTTGGTGTCAGTGGGGAGGAGGAATAGTGCCCCATCGTTGGTGTCAGTGGGGAGGAGGAATAGTGCCCCATCGTTGGTGTCAGTGGGGAGGAGGAATAGTGCCCCATCGTTGGTGTCAGTGGGGAGGAGGAATAGTGCCCCATCGTTGGTGTCAGTGGGGAGGAGGAATAGTGCCCCATCGTTGGTGTCAGTGGGGAGGAGGAATAGTGCCCCATCGTTGGTGTCAGTGGGGAGGAGGAATAGTGCCCCATCGTTGGTGTCAGTGGGGAGGAGGAATAGTGCCCCATCGTTGGTGTCAGTGGGGAGGAGGAATAGTGCCCCATCGTTGGTGTCAGTGGGGAGGAGGAATAGTGCCCCATCGTTGGTGTCAGTGGGGAGGAGGAATAGTGCCCCATCGTTGGTGTCAGTGGGGAGGAGGAATAGTGCCCCATCGTTGGTGTCAGTGGGGAGGAGGAATAGTGCCCCATCGTTGGTGTCAGTGGGGAGGAGGAATAGTGCCCCATCGTTGGTGTCAGTGGGGAGGAGGAATAGTGCCCCATCGTTGGTGTCAGTGGGGAGGAGGAATAGTGCCCCATCGTTGGTGTCAGTGGGGAGGAGGAATAGTGCCCCATCGTTGGTGTCAGTGGGGAGGAGGAATAGTGCCCCATCGTTGGTGTCAGTGGGGAGGAGGAATAGTGCCCCATCGTTGGTGTCAGTGGGGAGGAGGAATAGTGCCCCATCGTTGGTGTCAGTGGGGAGGAGGGAATAGTGCCCCATCGTTGGTGTCAGTGGGGAGGAGGAATAGTGCCCCATCGTTGGTGTCAGTGGGGAGGAGGAATAGTGCCCCATCGTTGGTGTCAGTGGGGAGGAGGAATAGTGCCCCATCGTTGGTGTCAGTGGGGAGGAGGAATAGTGCCCCATCGTTGGTGTCAGTGGGGAGGAGGAGGATAGTGCCCATCGTTGGTGTCAGTGGGGAGGAGGAATAGTGCCCCATCGTTGGTGTCAGTGGGGAGGAGGAATAGTGCCCCATCGTTGGTGTCAGTGGGGAGGAGGAATAGTGCCCCATCGTTGGTGTCAGTGGGGAGGAGGAATAGTGCCCCATCGTTGGTGTCAGTGGGGAGGAGGAATAGTGCCCCATCGTTGGTGTCAGTGGGGAGGAGGAATAGTGCCCCATCGTTGGTGTCAGTGGGGAGGAGGAATAGTGCCCCATCGTTGGTGTCAGTGGGGGGGAGGAACAGTGCCCCATCGTTGGTGTCAGTGGGGGAGGAACAGTGCCCCATCGTTGGTGTCAGTGGGGGAGGAACAGTGCCCCATCGTTGGTGTCAGTGGGGGAGGAACAGTGCCCCATCGTTGGTGTCAGTGGGGGAGGAACAGTGCCCCATCGTTGGTGTCAGTGGGGGAGGAACAGTGCCCCATCGTTGGTGTCAGTGGGGGAGGAACAGTGCCCCATCGTTGGTGTCAGTGGGGGAGGAACAGTGCCCCATCGTTGGTGTCAGTGGGGGAGGAACAGTGCCCCATCGTTGGTGTCAGTGGGGGAGGAACAGTGCCCCATCGTTGGTGTCAGTGGGGGAGAGGAGCGGCTGCTCCTTCTTTCATTTCGGCCGCTTGATTTTCGCGGGGCCGTTCGGCTCCGCCTCCTCGCCGGTGATTGGTCGCCTGTGTGCCTTTCCAGTGCTGGCGCCCAATCACCGGTGAGGAGGCGGAGCCGAGCGGGCGGCGGGACCATCGAGCGGCGGCCGAACTGAAAGAAGGAGCAGCCGCGCTTCCTGGACCGGATCGTCGTGGGACCAGGACCGGAGCCAGGTAAGGTACAGCAGCCCCTCTGCCCACCCCTGTACTTGGTGTCCATTGGAGAAAGAGGGGGCGGCACCGCCCCTCGAAAAAGTGCCGCCCTGACACTGGCTCGCCGTATACCGGCGTATAAGACGACCCCCGACTTTACAAAAGATTTTCACGGGTTGAAAAGTCGTCTTATACGCCGGCAAATACGGTAAGTACAAGAGGTATGTGCGATCATACTGGAATCTTTGTGTGCTTTATTTATTTCTTTTAAATCTGTGCAGTCATCCAATGTAAAACTCTACCACTGTGCAGCCGCTTCCTATAATAAAGACCCCTCACTGCTCTCTCTACTTGTGCAGGGCGACTGGTCTTGTCTCCGCCCCCTCCTGTAGTTTTCTGCAGGCAGCCTGTAGAGGGTGGGGACTAGCTGGATCCCTGCCACAGTTCTGCTTTCTGCACAATGATGATGGCATGAATACTTTTAACAAGGTAAAATCTGGGTTTGTGTAGGCATTTGATGCACACAATGTGAATTTCTATCCTTTGTAGCTATAGAGGATTATATTTAAATGAACATTTTAGTGCCCAGAGTTCAGGTTTTAAAGCGGAAATAAAATTCCGCTGTTATGCACTGTGAGAAGCAGGCATTTTATCGTAGAAGAGACATGCAGTGCTTCTTCTGCAATAAACATACCTATCTGTCTGCTCACAGTGATTTCTAGGACTGTAGACTGAGCTACGCATGCACAACTGAGTTTACAGCGGCTGGGCTGATCCTGTGCACATGCACAGAAACGTTGTCATCCCATGCTGGCCAAAGAGGATGGCTGAAACATGGAACACAGAAGAAGATGCTGGTGCTGCTAAGGGAACTTCTTGTTTTGCTGAAAAATTATATTTTATTGTATATAAAATACACAATACTTAGGAGAGCATTAAAGTGATAATTAAGTTTTGGGTTTTTTCCTTAACTTCCCTCCCGGCCTATAGCAGAATGACGGCCAGGCGGGACACTCACCGTTGTGACTGGGCGTCATATGATGTCCTGCCAAAACGAGCCGCTCAACGGGGCCACAGCCAATGACATATCACTACACCGGCCCGTTGCCACCAATCACAGCAGATCACATGTCAATTGTATACAATGGATGGCTTCCTGTCATGCCATCCATTGTATACAATTATGTTGTAAGCTGTGATTGGTCAAAGCAGTCACATGATATAGACAGGGCCACTCACAGCCCATCTGTATCATGTGATCAGCTTTGCCCAATCACAGCTAATCACAATAAAAGTCTGAATGAATCAGTTTCATTCAGTAACAATGATTGTAAATCAATGAAATACATTGGTATTAGCAATCATGTGCTGAAAAAAAAGAAAAAAATCCTGATCACTTGCCCAGAGTAGTTCAATGTTAATATTGTGACATTGAATTGCTATGGTCACAGTGTGTTGAAAAAAAAAAAAAAAATAGTAAAAGAAAAAAAAAATAATGTAATAAAAATTAAAAAAAAAAAAAAAATAGAAAAATTTGAAAAAAAAATACAAATAAATATTTTATTATTTTCACAGAAGAAATGTAGCAGAATACATTTTGACCTAAATTTATGAAGAAATGTTATTTATTTGCAAAATTTGACAACAGAAACAAAGAAAAGTGTGTTTTTTTTTTTATTTCAAAATTTTTAGGTGTTTTTTGTTTTATTTAGCAAAAAATAAAAAAAACTCAATAGTGATTAAATAGCACCAAAAGAAAGCTATAAAAATTTAATATGGGTACAGCGTTGCATGACCAAGTAACTGTCATTCAAAATGCGACAGCGCTGAAAACTGAAAATTGGCTTGGGCAGGAAGAGGGTATAAGTGGTTAAAAATAACAAAAACATGTCTACACTTACCTGCTGTGTGTAGTGGTTTTGCACAGAGCAGCCCAGATCCTCCTCTTCTTGGGTCCCCTGCCGGTGCTCCTGGCCCCTCCCTTGTCGGGTGCCCCAATAGCACAAAGCTTGCTATGGTGGCACCCGAGCAGGGGAACTCCCCAACCGCTGCTCCGTGTGTCCATTCACACACACAGCCGTGTCTCAGCCACACCCCTCCCTCTTCTGATTGGCTCACTGACTGTGATTAACAGTATCGAGAACAATGGCTCTCACTGCTGCCTCAGCCAATCAGGAATGAGAGTCCCCGGAGAACCGAGACGATCATGGACATTGTTGGATCAAGAGGGGGTTCAGATAAGTGTCGGGGGGGCTGCTACACACAGAAGGCTTTTTACCATCATGCATAGAATGCATGAAGGTAAAAAACCTTGCGACTTTAGAACCACTTTAAAGGGAATTTTGGGAAGGTAGGTATCCTCCCTTTAGTTACACTTTAAGTATACAGTGACAACTTAATAGAGGGAAGGGTCTGCCTATCACAATAGAGTGATGGTGATCTGAATTATTGTACAAAATAAATAACACAAACTATAAAATTACCACTTGTGAAGTTGAACAAACAGGAGAGGATTTTGCAGATGCTGAGAATTCATCCCAGAAGAAGGAAACACCGCTGAGTTCAAGGACTTTATGAGCAAATGCTGAGGGCCTGTGCACGTTAATTCCTGACTGCTCATCCACAGTTTCATCAGAATACATCGTCCTGAAAGAGATCATCAGTGAGGCCTCATTAAGCTGGAACTGTGGTTGGCGGGTCCAAAAGAGCACTTAAATTGCACATTATATCAAACCTACTGCCAGGGATATCTCCCTATCACTGTCAATCCAAAGAAGAGACATCCAATCTCTTCACTCTTCAGCCACTGGGTAGCCACTGAAACCTACGCTCCAGAGTTACAATTTCCCAGCATCTGGCTCCGTGGTAGGAGTGGGCCGAATGTACACTACACTGTGCATGCACCATAGATAATGAATACAAAAAAATATTGCTGACAAAAAGAGGAAGACGTATTTGGCACAAGAGGCATACAAAGTGTCCTCTAGCAAAAAACTCCACCTCCTAGCAAATTTTCTTTCAACGTTAATACCCAACACATCATCATAGGGTAATGGCAAGAGAAAATACATGGCAGGGAATTTATCAAAACTGAAGCAGACAGAATCTGAAGCAGTAGGGCATGGCATACAATCAGCTGCTAGCCTCAGCTTGTTCAGTTACCCTCAGTTCACATCTATGCAGCCGTGCGGGCCGTGTTTTGCACGGGCACGAGAGCCCATTCATTTGAATTGACACCCGTGAGCCGTGACACTCAGGGAAAGAAGTCCCTGCACTTCTTTGGAAAACGCAGCCCGCACAGGAACCCAGTACAGTTGCGTTTTCCAGTGCGGGCAGCGTGCAATTAGAACTAACCGCGGGACCGCATTTCTCTGTGCGGGTGGTGCGGCTGAACGGATTTTCGTGCATATCCGCAGCGACACCACCCGCACAGATGTAAACCGGGGGTTAATGTTTGAAAGTGAAAACTTACAGCCGTCTTACAGCTGCTCCAGATTCTGTCTGCTCTAGTGTTAGTAAACTCTCCTCTTTGTTTTTAACAGAAGCTATTGACATCAATGTGTTGTGAAATAGTACTCTATGTTGCATTTTGGGTGCATTGGCCTTCTTATTTTATCAAAAGCATTTTTTTTTTTTTGCTTTTGATAAAGTGAACAGGTTTAGAACTGCCGCCAGATATCTATTGCTCTCCGTGGCTCTGCTGAATAGACGACCCTCTCTATTTGACCAAATCATAGGAAGACCAAAAAAATTTATAGTTGTCACCGAGACTGGAGAAGAGTTGAAATCTTCCAAGAGGACCCTTATCCAGATACAGCAGTCTAAGACATTGCTCCACTGCAAAAACACAGCAAAAAACGCCTAAGCGGTTTTGCCTCATTTTTAAAGTATTTCAGGTGTGATTTTCGAACCATAAAAAAAAAAAAAAAAAAAAAAAAAAAAAAAAAAAAAGGACTTGTGGCTCAAAAACACAACAGCAGGTGAATTTATGCTGCATTTTCTATTTATTTCAATGGGAATGTGCATTTTTGCTGCATTTGTTTCCACACTGAACATGCACCAAAGATGCAGCATGCAGGACTTTTAAAAACTGACCTGCAATTGGCTGGTGTGCAGAACAGATTCAATGGTCACAAATTTTTCTTCTGCTTTTGGCAAGGTAAAAATGGAAGGAAAACTGATCAGTGTGAAAGCAGCCTAAGGGATTTCCTCTCGCTTTCTATGCGTCTCTCGAAAAGGAAGTGAAAGTGAGATCTTCCAAATGGAACACAAAGAGCAAAAATATATCAGACATTCTAAACCTTATGCTATCCAAAAAGTGTTTTGTCCTTGGATATATTATAAAGTATGTAAAATCCCAAATCACTATAATCTTTATTATGTTCACAACTAAACTTCAATATTTTGAAAGCAGCTGCTTTTATTAAAAGTGGAGTCCCCCTAAAAGTGGAAGCTCCGCTTATCTGCCTCCCCCCCACTGCCATATTTGGCACCCTTTGGGAGGGGAGAGTGGGTACCTGGTTTTGATAGGTAACAGCACCCACTTCGCCACAGATCCCAGAGGACTTCGGCCCAATCACAAAGCGCAGCGCACATGAACAGTAGGAAGCCGTCTGTGAAGGCGCAAGGCTTCACTGCCAGTTTCTCTTAGTCAAAATCGGCTCAGGGTGAGGACACTGCTGGATCCGTAGACAGGTAAGTGCCCTAATATTAAAAAAGTCAGCAGCTACGAGGGGGGGGGGGGGCGGGCAGAACTCCACTTTAAATAATCCCTGGTGATCCTGACATAAATGTCACGTTTCAGGCACTAGAGTGACAACATTCTGTCACCATCTCACAAATGTGCTCCTATGTTGACACAGACTTTCGTTGGAGGCTACAAGTGGCCAGTTCAATGCACATTACATAGGCATGGTGCCCTGCCCTGAGAAATGTACTCCAGCGATGGCTGCATGGCATGAAATGGCTGCAGGAGAGCAGCAGCATTAAAATGCAAACAACAATGAAAATTGTAATTTTAATTAAAAAAAAATAGTTTATTACATGCAGTGCTTCAGTATTCAGTAAGGCCTCGTTTAAACCTGATTTGCTGTCTGAAGCACAATCCACTTTCGGATCCCGCTTCAGACGGTAATAGACAGATGGTGGGGAGGCATTGCATCTCCACTTCACTGATTGTTTTACCCCCCCCCCCCCCCCCCCAATTACTGGAAAAAATCACACTTTAAATGAGTAATATGTGCAGTTGCAGCATGGCTCCATTCACTCGAATGGGTCACGTCTGGCTAGCAGTACAACCCATCGAGTGCGATAGGGTATAAAATTCCTGCCGTGAACAAAACCATCACACCCGTGACATACAGTGAAGGAATAAGTATTTGATCCCCTGCTGATTTTGAATGTTTGCCCACTCACAAAGAAATGATCGGTCTAAAAATCGAATGGTAGGTGTATTGTAACACTGAGAGACAGAATAGCAACACAAAATTCCAAAGAAATGCATGTCTAACAAATGATGACTGATTTGCATGTTCATGAGGGAAATAGGTATTTGATCCCCTATCATTCTGCAGGATTTCTGGCTACCAGGTATCTTTCATACAGGCAACAAGCTGAGATTAGAAGCAGTCTCTTGAAGGGAGTGCTGCTAATCTCATTTTGTTACCTGTATAAAAGACACCTGTCCACAGGAGCAATCAAACAATCAGATTCCAAACTCTCCCACCATGGCAAAGACCAAAAATCTGTCCAAGGATGTCAAGGACAAGATTGTAGATCTACAAAAGGCTGGACTGGGCTACAAAACTTTCGCCAAGCAGCTTGGTGAGAAGGTGACAACAGTTGGTACAATCATTTGCAAATGGAAGAAACATAAAACAACCGTCAGTCTCCCTAGGTCTGGTGCACCATGCAAGATCTCACCTCGTGGAGTGTCAATGATCATGAGAACAGTGAGGAATCATCCCAGAACTACACGTGAGGATCTTGTCAATGATCTCCAGGCAGCTGGGACCACAGTCACCAAGAAAACAATTGGTAACACACTACGCCGACAAGGATTGAAATCCTGCAGTGTCTGCAAGGTCCCTCTGCTCAGGAAAGCACATGTCCAGGCCTGTCTGAAGTCTGCCACTGAACATCTGAATGATGCAGAGGAGGACTGGTTGAAATTGTTGTGGTCAGATGAGACCACAACATCAAGCTGTTTGGTATCAACTCAACACGCCGCGTTTGGAGGAGGAGGAATGCTGCCTATGACCCCAAGAACACCATCCCAACTGTCAAACATGGTGGTGGAAACATTCTGCTTTGGGGGTGTTTTTCTGCTAAGGGGACAGAACAACTGCACTGCATCAAAGGGACGATGGACGGGGCAATGTACCATCAAATCTTGGGTGAGAATCTTCTTCCCTCAGCCAGGGCACTGAAAAAGGGTCGTGGATGGGTGTTCCAGCATGACAATGACCCAAAACACACGGCCAAGGCAACAAAGGAGTGGCTCAAGAAGATGCACATTAAGGTCCTGGAGTGACCTAGCCAGTCTCCAGACCTTAATCCGATTGAAATCTGTGGAGGGAGCTGAAAGTTCGAGTTGCCAAATGTCAGCCACCTAACCTTAATAACTTGGAGAGGATATGCCAAGAGGAGTGGGCCAAAATCCCTCCTGAGATGTGTGCGAAGCTGGTGGCCAACTACAGGAGACGTCTGACCTCTGTGATTGCCAACAAGGGATTTGCCACCAAGTACTAAGTCATGTTTTGTGAAGGGGATCAAATACTTATTTCCCTCACGAACATGCAAATCAGTCATCATTTGTTAGACTTGCATTTCTTTTGACTTTTTTGTCTCTCAGTGTTTCAATACATCTACCATTCGATTGTTAGACTGATCATTTCTTTGTGAGTGGGCAAACATTCAAAATCAGCAGGGGATCAAATACTTATTTCCTTCAATGTAAGTACACCCCCGGCTGCTTCCTCAGCAGCAACAAACGCTTCAACTGAGGGCCAGTTAAAAAAAAAAAAAAAAAAAAAAAAAAAAAAAAAAAAGGCTCAACCTTGGGCTTTTACCACCCCTCAATTGCAAGGGTAAACAAGCCCTTAGGATTTAAATCTATGTTAACGTAACGTGTTTTTCTGGCGTGACCTTATACACAAGGTTCGACACAATGATTACATGTCTGTATCCTTACTTGCTGATTCGTATTTCAAGGGCAGTCCCTGTTTTTGAGTTTTCAGGTATGTGTTCTATCCTCAACACTGTATCAATGAATGTCACTCTGACGCGTCTCAGTACTGCAACACAAAAACAACATACGTTAAGGCTGAATCGCAGGATCATGTCCACTTTTGACCCTTAGCTCCCTTTCCCCACAATAAAAAAGCCTTTACCACAAAAACCACCTCGCCTTTTTGATTAATTAATCCTTTTGTGTTACATCATCAGTTCCTGCTGCAAAGCTTACTGTGCCTGAGCGCTGGGGTTGGGGTGGAAAGCCAAGCAGGGAGCACAAGTCACATTCATTAAGTTGCTGAGGAGGAAATATGAACTACATTTCCCATAATTCCTTGGGAAATACACTGACCTGTTGGGTGTGTATGTGGGTGTTACTTGGTTTTAATGACAGAGAGTGCTGTAGTGAAGGGAGCAGCTTTAGCAGAGCCACCGATCAATGGTGGTGGACAGGTCACAACAGGTGCTGTGAAATCATAGCATCCACAGAAGGAAGCTCTATGATAGGAATCTACAATAGGATCACCATTGACCACAACCATTTCTCCATTGGTAAAATAAACGATATAGGACATGTAAGTGATCCAGCCAGTTACACGCTTCCTGCTTTATAGTGGCCCCGCTCTATGGAGGAGAAATGCATCCACTCACGGACAGCAGCATTGTCCACCTGTGAAGAGGGCAGTGTCTGATGCATTAGCATATTTAGATGGACTTGAATTACAAATTAAAGCTGAATTCCAGGAATTCAGCCACTTTTTTAAACGTGAAGGCACACTATGTATTAAAGTGGAGCTCCACCCAAAAGGGGAAGTTCCGCTTTAAGCCTTTGTCCCCCACACCTCATTAACGATTTGCACCTTTGGGGAGCGAGGGGGTACCTGATTTTGACAGGTACCCACTCCCATTTCCGCTGCGATTGCCTAGGCAATTGGAAGCAGAAATTGTCCCCCCCCCCCCTCCCTGTAGTCTTCTGGGACACATGACAGGTCCCAGAAGACTACGGGGCCATTCAGAAAGCATAGAGCTTCTCGTGCATGCGCAGTGGGCACCCGGCTGTGAAGCCGCAAGCGGTCACAGCTGGGTGCCCACACTAAAGATGCCGGTGCCAGGGAGAGAAGATGTCCGGTGAAACCAGCGATAGTGAGGACACCGCTGGACCAAGGGACAGGTAAGTGTCTGTATTTTAAGAGTCAGCAGCTACAGTTCTTGTAGCTGCTTTTTTTTTTTTTTTTTTATGTGCCGTTCCGCTTTAAGTCCAAGGAGGTGCATGACTACTACTGAACTTATTCTATTAGTTATATCTGACAGATTTAAAGCACTCCCGGAAAACAGCTATTGCTTTAGAACTAGGAGCCTGGTGCTAATCCTTGAGGTCTTAGCATCTTCAACAGTAGATCTGCTGTAGCTGCTAAGCCCGCCCTTCCCCTCCTCCTGCCCAATCACAGAAGACTTTGTATAATGTGAACATTTTCTGATTGGACAGCATAACTGGAGGGCATAGCTGCTCTGTGCGCCTCTCTCCTCTCTCACAGTCCCAAGTGTATTCTCCAGCAGAACCATAAACCTGTCAGGTATAAATAAGTTCAGGAGATGTCATGCACCTCATTGGACTTAACTTGTACAAAGTGGCTGAATTCCTGGAATTCAGCTTTAAAGCAGAACTAAACCCTCTTGCCCTTTACAACTAAAGCTGGAGAATTAGCATTTTTTTTTCCTCTCTTTCTTAACTGAAGCTGTGACACACAACATTTGATGGCTTGACAATTCAGTTGAGAGTACAAATAAATCTAACAGTTATCATTCACGGCATCCTTTGAATGTAATTTTTTGGCATCTAGTTTCACTTTTTTTTTTTTTTACATTAGAGAGTTTAGTTCGACTTTAACAAATGTGTAACCTAAAAAAAAAAATAAAATGAAGCAAAAATGACAAATTATATTATATATAAAAATGACAAAACAATTAAAAAGTTTCCCCATAAAATCTCAAGCAGGCCAGAAAATGCAAAGGAAGAGATAGGAGTGCAGCATACACATAACAGGAATCCTGAAGCCTTACCAGTTTCTATGGTCTCTGCAAATTTCTCCAGCCCCTCAAAGGGCTGTGAGGACTCCTGTTCATCGGTCAGCTTCTGACTCAGGCATTCCCTAGCCAGCTGCATACTGCTGGTCATAAAACTTGACCAATACATTGGCTCAGAAGCAGAACCTGCAATATAGACAATCAAAACAAGGGTTAATTACAATCAATAATGATCTTCACAATTGACCCTTTTTGTACTGTGTTACATATCAAGGAGGGGTTGACGTGGACATTGAGGTCTACAGGTACTGGGTCAGACCACCACTCACATACAGATACTACAAGGAGAGGGGTTATCTGCTGAGGCTGGGGGTGATTAAAAAAAGGGAAAAAAACAAAAAAAAAAAACTTTGACTCTGGTGTCCTGGTGTGAGTCTTGCACAATTGTACAGACTCCTCTACTGTATAGCTTTGCCTCACTCTGATTTCACTGCACACTGCGAGCGTCTCATTTTGGGTATTACAAGCTGTAGCAAGTCAGATCCTGCCTTCTTGGCTGGAAGACCCCCAGGATCATCTAGCGCTTCCCTACTCAGATTGACTGTCATTGACCCACCCCTTTTATTCATTCATTCAATCATGGAGGCTCAGCATTACATGCGGTCATTACTATGGCAGTTTGTATGCAAACACAGTCTGCCTAGGAATGTCGCTCCTTCAGACTGACACCGGCTCATCAAGATATTTTGATATTTGTATGAGGGCTCTTGAGAAGAGTACTGAGGAAGGGTGCTGTGATGTATTCAGGAAGCTATGCAAAGAAGCTTGCTGGCCACTCCCACCAGCCATGATGTGCCTGCACTGCGTAGAAAAGCAAAGAGATGTGATCATTGGATCGAGAAAAAAAAAAAAGGCATATAATGAAAATTCACCGGTTTTATTTAACATTATTGGCATGTTGATGGGGAAAGACAGGAACCAGGGAAGGAAAATTCTAAACTTCAGGTTCGGGGCTGTTTCAGACTGATGGTAAGCTTACCACCCTCTGAAAAGTGATCTGTGGTGGATCATTTTTCAGAGGGCGGTATAGCAGCAGCTGGCAAGCATTTAGGAAGTGTTACTGCTGCCTCCTGACCCCTTTTGTCTTACCTTTTTTTTTTTTTTTCAAAATTGCCAAACAGCAATTTACAATGTGGGACCATGCCATAATTGAGAGCCAAGCATTTGGCTAATGGCTATGCTGCAGTTTCATTATTCTCAATGGATGAGTTTGACAACTGGAGCTGCCTGTCAGCCTCAGAAGAAAACGAGTTAAAGTGTCAAACTGTAACGTTAGAATTATGTTGGACAGCCAGGAGTGGTTAAACAGCGACTCACCGACCTGTTTTTTACCGGACGAGTCCTTAAAGCGGAGTTCCACCCAAACGTGTAAGCTCCACTTATCGCCGCCGCCCCCCCCCCCCCTCCCTGCCACATTTGGCAAGTTTTGAGGGGGAGGAGGGAGCAGATACCTGGTTTTGACCAGTACCCGCTTCCACTTCCAGCTAAGTTCACCACGGCTAACCGAGCTGGAAGTTTGGCGCCCCTTCTTCACCCTGCAGCCCTCTAGGACATTTCACAGGTCCCAGAGGACTGTGCTCCATTCACAAAGCGCAGCAAGCTTCACGCAGGCACAGTAGGAAACCGGCTGTGAAGCCGCAGGGTTTAACTAACGCTTTCCCTTAGTCAAGATGGCGGCGCCCGAACCTGACAGTCGATTGAAGAATCGGCTCGGGTTGAGGACACCGCTGGATCCCTGGGCAGGTAAGTGTCCTAATATTAAAAGTTAACAGCTACAGTATTTGTGCTGCTGACTTTATATTTTTTGAGATGGGGGTGGAACTCCTCTTTGATGCCTGTGTATAAGAGTGAATATGTGTTACGTACGTGACGCCCGTGTATAAGAGTGAATATGTGTTACATACGTGACGCCTGTGTATAAGAGTGAATATGTGTTACGTACGTGACGCCCGTGTATAAGAGTGAATATGTGTTACATACGTGACGCCTGTGTATAAGAGTGAATATGTGTTACATACGTGACGCCTGTGTATAAGAGTGAATATGTGTTACATACGTGACGCCTGTGTATAAGAGTGAATATGTGTTACATACGTGATGCCCGTGTATAAGAGTGAATATGTGTTACGTACGTGACGCCCGTGTATAAGAGTGAATATGTGTTACATACGTGACGCCTGTGTATAAGAGTGAATGTGTTACATACGTGACGCCCGTGTATAAGAGCGAATATGTGTTACATACGTGACGCCTGTGTATAAGAGTGAATAGGTGTTACATACGTGATGCCTGTGTATAAGAGTGAATATGTGTTACGTACGTGATGCCTGTGTATAAGAGTGAATATGTGTTACATACGTGACGCCCGTGTATAAGAGTGAATATGTGTTACATACGTGACGCCCGTGTATAAGAGTGAATATGTGTTACATACGTGGTCGAGGTCTTGGCCTGAACACCATCTCCAGGCCTTTCACCTCCAGTGCACAGTTATCCTGCAGTAAGGAGCCCCAGGGGACAGACAGGGAGATGGTCTGTATAAAGCCCTCCGTCACTTCCAGGGGAGCATCTGCTGACTCCAATATCTCATTAAGACTCTGCAGACAGAAAACAAACAGAAAGTTACAAATTAAGAGATGAATTGTATAGAAAACCGAGCAATGAATGGTATACACCTGTGACCAAAGTACTTGCGTCAACTTGTGCGCAACATATGCAGAAAATCAAAGAGACTGAACATTTTAAAGAGATAGAAAAGCGTTCTGTCCACTGATCCCCTGCTGATCAGAGCAGATTGAGTGGATGTGCTCCATTTTTTTCCAGATGGGCCACAGACAGAGCTTGTTCTGCTCTATGGGCGATTGGATGTAAACAGACTCCGCTGTCCATTTATACCTGACTGCCCTCCGATCCAATCTGCATAGACCAAGGGTAGGCAACCTCCGGCTCTCCAGCTGTTGCAGGACTACAAGTTCCATTATGCCTCTGCAAGTCATAGCTGTAACTGTCAGTTTTGTACTGTTGCAATGCCTCATGGGAAATGTACTTCAACAGCTAGAGAGCCGCAGGTTGCCTACCCCTGGCCTAAACACAGGATCCCCTTCTGTTTTTTTTTAGCGAACTAGTTTGGAGGTAAGCAGGCACAGGTTTGTTTAAACCCGCCAGTCCATAGGTGTGAATGGAGGGGCCCATCAGGTCTGCCTGAAAAATTGACAGGTGGAGCTGATCCACCCCTTCATGTGAAAGAGGCCTAACTGTACCAAGCCACAAGGTATGAGGCAACAGCAGCAGAGGCTGATCTGTGTCAGACATTTGTGAACAAAGACTGGAACTGCACAGACACCAGGATTTACATGTTTCTGTAATCTCTGAGCCAATATCTCAGTCCAGGAGTAGATGGTGACCTTGGATGACGTCTGAATAACAATGGCACCGTCCTTCTAAAGAGAAAAGCAGATGAAAGCTTTATCAAGCGGGAGTACTGTGATATGCAAGACATCCCCTCCTGTGCTCAGGTGTGGTGCTTAGGGGCAGGATAGACTCTCCTCTTGGCTACCTTGCAAGTATGGCAAACACAAAATCTTTTCGACAGTTAGGCCCACTTTTTCAAAGCCAAAGAGGACCTGACCCTTGAAATGAGTCAGCCAACTATGGACATTTAGAGGTGTTCTCATGTCATTAACCTCCTTAGCGGTATTCCCGAGTGTAGCTCGGGGTAAAATTTCTATACCAAGAGCGGTAACCCCAAGCTACACTCAGGGCTTACCATGCGGCGCTGCTCTGGGGGTCCCTGCAGCACTTACCTTGTCCTTCGCTCCCGCGATGTGTCCCCTGCAGCGTCCCCGGCCATCTCCTCCGGCCGATGCCGGCATCCGGCTTCTGTGTTCCGGTCCCTGTGACGTCGGGACGTACGGACGCCGGCGGGAAATTTGAAATTTTTTAAAAATGTCATTTTTGCGGTCATTGCTGTTTCAATGCATTTCACATATATTTTGTCCCTACTGCTTTGTCCGGCGCCCTGCCTGTATTTTGAATGTTCTTTCTGCCTGGAAACTGAGAAAAGTCCATGGCGTCCAAAAAGTATCCCTTTACGTCAAAAGCGGTTTTAGAACAGCGATAGTAAATCAGAACCACTTGCAGAATTGAGTGATAATGATTCGTGGGGGAAATTCGTCATCAGACACTGAAAACGATTTTGCGACTTTGCTCAGCGATGTGCGAATTTGCCTCTGTATTTCAAATTTCAGTGTTTTTGGTTTGATTATATTATTGAATTAAATTTATTATATTATTATTTTTTATGATTATTTATTAAATTATAATTTATGATTTCGTGTTTCAAATTTTATCATACCCGGGATGTTTACTAGACTCTTGTTCGGACAGATTTCAGCGAGTTATTCCTAAAAATTACAGCCTACAATAAAAAACTACATATTTCCATGCAAAAAAATGTACCGCTTTCAGCACAAAAAAATTCGGAAAGAATCATACCGCCAGGGAGGTTAACCCTGTATGGTGAGCTTGGAGGTGGTCTCGTTTGTATCTTTTGATATGCTCATACAAAACGTGTTTGTGAGTACCCGCTTGCTTTTATACATTTTAATAAAAATGAATTTATTGTAATGCTCTAGGTCAGTGTGCCCTCTTCTTATTGTTTCGGCAGTACTGTGATCTCCGATCGTGGTAGTAAATACATGGCAGTATTACACCTACACCTTCTTAGAGAATATGTAAAGCCAACATTTCATGTTCTTGATCTGTGCCTGCTGTGCCATGTACTTGTATCAAAAAGTATCCCCTTCTCTTTGTATTGCTTCCTTTGTGTGAAATCCCGGGTGTTCCTGAGCCCTTTCCTCCCCGGACTGACTGTTCCTAACCCACCCCTTTCATTCGCAGGATTTCCTCTTTTATTTTGGAGGCTCAGTATCACATGTATGTGTTACCTAGGGTTGTCTGCATGGAAACAGCCTGCCTTGAGTGCCCACTCCTCCACACTGACATCCACCCATCATGGCATTCTGATTTTTACATAACTCCTCCAAAGAGCCAGCCCATGCAGTGCCTGCATCAAAACGGAGGGCTCTTAAGAGGAAGGGTGCACTGATGTTGTCATGTACAGCACCCTGCCAGACCTAGCCTGCACATAGAACCGCAGAGACCCAATGATGACATTGTTGGGTCCAAAAAAAAAAAAAAAAAAAAAAAAAAAAAAAAAAAAAAGGTATGTACTGAAAAGAGAACATTTTCATATAAATATTGGCAGATTAAGGCCTCATTAACATTACACATGTACATTATACTGCTGCTTTTAGGGCCAGTTCAAAACACATGCAGTCTAGAGAAATTTTTTCCTGCATCAAAAACACATGGAAAGTAGGTTATATGGTTTCCAATGGCATAGTTTACACCAGTGCGGTCAGTTCCAGAAAAAAAAAGTAAAAAAACATGCTGCATTTTTCCTGCACTGGACTTTACTGGAAAAGCGCATCAGACTCCAATACAGTGGGAAAAAAAACACAAAGGAAGAAGAAGGGAGGAGCGAGAAGGAAGAAGACGGAAGAAGCGAGAAGAAGAAGAAGGAAGATCTGGAATGCATTAAATACTCAACAAAAACATGCCAGTGTGTATCAAAAACATGTTAAAAGCATGCATGCAGAAACACACAGAGGAGGAGGAGGAGGAGAAGATCTGGAATGCATCTGGAAATGCATTAAATACTCAACAAAAACATGCCCGTGTGCATCAAAAACATGCATGCAGAAACACACGAAGAAGGAAGGAGGAAGGAGGAAGGAGGAGGAAGGAGGAAGAAGAAGAAGGAGGAGGAGGAAGAAGAAGGAAGGGAGGAGGAGAAGAAGAAGAAGGAAGGAGGAGGAAGAGGAAGGAGGAGGAGGAAGAAGAAGGAAGGAAGGAGGAGGAGGAGGAGAAGGAAGGAGGAGGAGGAGGAAGAAGAAGGAAGAGGAGGAAGAAGAGAAGGAAGAAGGAAGGAGGAGGAGGAGAAGGAAGGAGGAGAGGAGGAAGAAGAGGAGAAGAAGAGGAGGAGGAGGAAGAAGAAGAAGAAGAAGAAGAAGAAGAAGAAGAAGAAGAAGAAAGAAGAAGGAAGAAGAGGAAGAAGAAGGAAGAAGAGGAAGAAGAAGGAAGAAGAGGAAGAAGAGAAGAGAAGGAAGAAGAGGAAGAAGAAGGAAGAAGAGGAAGAAGAGAAGGAAGAAGATCTGGAATGCATCTGGAAATGCATTAAATATGCAACAAAAACATGCCCGTGTGCATCAAAAGCATGTTAAAAGCATGCATGCAGAAACACATCTAGAATAGATCTGGTGTGCTTTTTTGTGGTGTAAAACATCCCTTAGTGGTGTCAGGATTTTTTTTCCTGCTTCCAAACTCCCCTGCATGTTAACCTATGTGTCCATGCACACATAGGCTTTTAGCAGCATTTAGTGGCAGGACAAAAAAAAACGCAGGGCCAGTGAGTTTAGGAGCAGCAGAGTTTTGACTGAAAAAAAGATTGATGCGTTTAAACACTAGGTGCTTTTAGTGCTCGAGTATGAATCCGATGCGATTCAGGTGCGGGTATAAAAAAAAAAAAAAAAAAAAAAAATGGTCCTGCACCTTTTTGGTGTGGATGCAATGCGGTTTGAGCCATACAAAATATATGGCTCAACGCACACTGCACAGACATTGCATGAAATTCACACTGTAATGCGGTGTGATTCCTGTATGAATTACATGCAGTGTCCCGCACCACATTAGTGTGAACCCAGTCTAAATGCGTTAGACACTTCTACAAGCGGCCAAAACGCTGCTGCCAAGAGGAAAAGCATTTTCCCAAACGTCTTATGTGCATGAGCCCTATAGTTCAGTTTTAAAAAATGCCCTACAGCTATCAAATACAAACCTCCAATCTCCAATCATTATTTTCTACAGATCTTATTCTAATTGAGGCAATACAGACAGTTCTGATTTCAGTTGCTTTCATAAAAGACGCCAACCTTTCTCTATGCAGTTGCCGTCTGCTAGGCTGTCATTCCCTACTCATCACGGATACATTAAGTTTCTAAAAATGACCAGCCAGCTCATGGGAAGTGTGTGGGAGGCTCTGCATGAATTCAGAAGCACATTTCATTATTGCGCCACTGAAATCATTCACAGTCTAAATAATAACAGTCCTCCTGTCTCTTGGTGACACTTTACAGAATCCCTATTGGCCAGAATCTGTTACATTGTTTCTTTCTTTGCTTCTTAAAAGGTAAACATACAGATGGACCGTTACATTGTGTCCGTTTGATAGATGAATAAAGTATGTTGCAGTTCTTATCAGCTGCTTCTATAATTTTATAGGTCGTTTTTTAGACTTTTTTTTTTTTCACTTTACTACCATATATAATTTATTATTACATTTGCAATTTATAATAATAACCGCGTTCATTTCTTTCCCTTCTATGATTCCATCCGCATATAGATTTTATCTTTAGCGCGATTTAGCTCAGGTTCACACATATGCGGTGCGGTATATCGCATGTGATTCCCACAGGAACAGCACTGCATTCCTCTGCAAATCACATGCGAATTGTGTGCAGTGCGATTGGAGCCATAC